GAGTACACTCGACGGAGAAAGTACTGCCGCAGTGTACAAGTGCAATTCTGACAGACTTGGACTCGGTCCCTATACGTGGCACTCATCGGACGGTGCCAGCCCCAGCCAGCGGAAAGTTCGGGACCCCGAAATGTACCTAGTTAAAGTGCGCTTTTTGACAACGGGATGGTCAATGTAGTGGTGTGCATATGTGTCCTTAATGTGCGGCCAGGCTGCGGCCGTATCATGCATGCATCATCAAGGCATCATGATCAAGTGATTCAGACAAAGAGCTAGTGACCCGGCCTGATGCCCGGGAACTCTATCAGGGAATGTGACTAAGTCAGGCATTTCTTGCCATGTACATAGGACAGCCTGTACGATTTGCAAACTATTTGAAGCTCAGTGTACGATCCTGGCACCGCAAAGGCAAGTGGTACATGCTTGACGGGATTGGCCGAACCATAGAAGGCATCCTCTTTAGTACAGACAAGGCATACTCGGCCTCCGTCAGAGTCTCCAGTACCATTTTTGCGCATCAGAAAGCTGCCCAATTGGCTTGGTGCTATCTTTTAGGCCCACTTTCTGCTTCTCATTGTTTACAACATCCTCCCAAGCATTCCACACCGCATCCGCCTCCCCCGTGCGTATTTCCGAATCTACAATCCCACTCGATCAAATCGAAAGTGCATCGTCTCATCCAACGCCTCATAGTCCCTTGCAGCTCCTTCACATACTGCCGCACAAATCCGTTCACAATGCCGGATCCTCCACAATCAAAAAGTCGCTCTTGCCCTCGTTCTCCCCCGCTTCCAGCACCCCTTCCACATACATGACCTCTTTATCCTTCCTGATCTTCTGCTTTGCCAGGTCCAACGGACTCAGCCTCTTCCCTCCGCTCCCTTTCCCCTCTGTTTCTTTGTCCGCAAACCTTCCCCCCCGGGACGCCCCCTCTTCACCTGCCGTCGCGAGTTTCGCCGCTAGCTGCGCCGCAGCTTTGCTGACAACCTTGTCTTCCGGTGGATATAGAGGGTCTTGACCAAGCGCCTTGGCCCGCTTGGCCACGGCTGCGCTCACAACTTCCAAGCGCTTGCGCCCCTCCTCCACAGCCAGCGCAACCTGCAACATGCTTTTGTGAGTTAGCTCTGAAGAGGGAGCGGTGGCGATGGGTCTGTAATCCTTGCTTTCAAAACTAGGATTCATATTTGAAAATCAGACCGCTTGAGATGGAATATGGAAGTTGATGCAGAAGGTGATACGCTTGGCCAGACTTTGGTTGTCAATAGCGCCTTCTCAAAACCCACAGATTCCATCTTAAAGGCAAGATGAGGAAAAGCCTGCTTTTCTGTTGTTGATACAGCGTCAGTACACGAAATGGGCAGAGTTCTGAATCAAGAACTCTGCAAGCTGATATCAGACCCTTGAAGGGGATCCCCAAATTCAAGCGACCTCCATCAAGAGAGCTTTTGGAACGTGTTAGGCAATCAGCGTGATAGTCCTTAAAAAGATGCTTCTGATTGGATTGATCTTCCTTTCCACGACGTTGTGAAAGATGGAAATCACTAGCACACAACACTGACACAACAATCACATGGGGCTTGAAGAATGGTTGGCGCAGCGAAGCATGTTTGAAATGTACGAACCACAAATCATGTCGCTTTGAAGGGGTTTGCCAGCTTTATCTCTATTGTCTAGGGGGTCCTACCTCGGATGTTCCCCTGTTTCCAAACCAGCGTCTGAAGAGACTGGTCCAATCACCCTGCCCTGGAAGCCAGTCTTGAAAGGGGTCTATCCAACTATCCTGTGCTAGTCTCCGCCCCTTGAAAGCTAGTTGAGTTGTCCTGTCCCCACTTTGCCGACGAACTTCATCTATGTCCCTGGTTCCAATTGCCCGAGTTTTTCCTAGATCAGCAGTGCGACACAAAGGCCGGTACTTGAGAAGATGACGAGTAGAAGAATAGCTCTTAGAAGTGGTCGAAGAGCCATGATTTGATGCCAAAGATCCTAAACCTCCAGGATCCCACGGGCAACCCTCTTTCAGCTGATATTTAGCTCAGTAGCAACTGAGCTCATGGGGCCCGAAAAGACAAAAGTGGGGCTCCATGGAGATTTGTGATTGTGGCAGAGCCCGTTTGGATTGCTTGCACGGATCTCAAAGTCCTCTGCTTGCAGCACTTGCTGCTCCGACACCGAAGAGTAATGGCAGAAGCAGAGTTGCTTTGCAGCACTGGTGCAGCAGAGAGAGAAGCAAGGACTCCGCTGCTGCCCCCATGTGCCCCATTGCTGTTGCTTGCAAAGCTAGCGTCCAACTTTTCGAGGTATAAAAGTCGATATCTGAGGGACAAATAGGTCCGATGATAATCCCCGATCGGCGGACAAATCGGGCCTATGACACAAATGGTATCCAGTGTCCCAGAGTCACAGGGAAGCCCCGGGCACACACTAAAACCAAAAGGACTTGCTCGGTTGCTAGTTGCAGTAGTGTAACCCTAAAGCGGGAAGTGCCCGGTTGTCACCCGGTTGCCCGCGAGACCCTAATGTCACAGGGAGGGCCCGGTTGCTTCCCGGGCGGTGTGCGAGACCCTATGGCTAGTGGACTTGCAGTGTTGGTGGCAACCCGGGGCAAGCCGTCGCGAACCACCACCCCACCCCCTCCAATAAGGGGCGCCGCCCTTATGTACTGCAATTCAGACGGTCGCGGCGAGCAGATTTGTGGGTCGACACGGTTGCGGCGATGACGGTCGATATCGAGCGGTGCGTTGAAGATCGGACGGTGATGATGCAACACCGGTGCCACCCCGTTTGTCAAAGTGTCATAGGCCCGATTTGTCCGCCGATCGGGGATTATCATCGGACCTATTTGTCCCTGGAATTTGGCACTTTTATTACTGAACTTTTCACATGTCACATTTTCAGCAATTGCATCTGGAAAAGTTAGCAGCGGTTACCAGGTGGGTTTTCAACACACGCTGGGTTACGCAATGACAAGAAGTTTAACCTGCTGGTTTTGCGCTGCGGGTATACCTACTGCGCAGCGCAGTAAGCCCTTGCTGGTCAGCTTAAGCCTTAACCTCCCCTGAAGGTACATAACAAAGTTTGGTATTGATGTGGGTTTGTGATGGGCGTGCAATGCTGAACGTATGTTCTGAGCACAGCAACAACAGTGTCAACACATGGTGGTTCATGGCGCACCTTCACTGTCCTCCTGGCCCTGAAAATCCACAGGGGAATCATGCAGTACGCTCAGACAAGCTCAAAACCATGCTGATTGACTTTCTAGGCAGCCTTGTTGAGTAGAGCAATCTTTCGATGCTCACGGAGTCATGGCGAGCTGGCTGAGCTCGAGGTTGAAAGCTGCGGAGCAATTCCTTAACCAAGTGAGCGCTCTTCATGAATTTGCGAAGGTTGCACTTTATGGCAAGAGCATCGGGGTTTATTCAGAACAAGCTCCTCCTTTCCTTCAGGCACCGTCTCAATCATCTCAAATCAGCAAAGGTTTGTGAAAAAAGCCTAGCCCCACCTGGACTCGGTTGTAAAAGGGGTCATGACCATTCTGCTGCTATTGTCCATGCATTATGGTTCCTCAGGCGGATTCTTTGAGCAGATTATGACAATGTAACAGATGATGCAACAGAGCAACAGGTCTAAACATCACAGGTCTGCATTTGGCGTCATGTGTGCAATTGAACCACCTTCATGACCTCTCCCATTTGGCTTAAGCTTCCTCAAGTAGCCAAGCACTCTCTGCAGTCAATGCATGGTCATTCCACTTGGAGATTCTTTCAATTTCCCCAGGGCTTTCAATGGGTGAAAGCTGTGCATCGTCTTGTAGAGGGATGATAGCACCTGAAGATAGCACTCATGAATATCAATTCCATCCGCCCCGACTGTTTCTGGCTTGCCAGTCTCTCAGCCAAAGTAACAAATAGACTGTTTGCATTGCAGATAGACGCAACTGCGGCGGACCGTGCACTGAAGGCCAAGGAGCGCTTGCAGCAGGGCCTCGGTTCCGACACTGAGGGCGCCGAGCCCCGCTACAACAATGACTTCTCCCGGACCGTTAGCGATCTCTCCTTTACTGATGAAGGCCCTGCCACTGGTCGCACTTCCGGCCACAGCGGAGATGAGAGCTCGGAAGCTGCTTTCTCAGCTAGGCGAGAGGGCTTTTCTCGAGCCCCCCAATCAAGGGAGCGGAGCTCGTTCAAGAAGGTCGAAGCGCCCCCCGCTGCGGATTGGACAGAGTTGCTTAGAAGTGACAAGAATGGACCGGGGAGCGGTGCAAAACTTGTGCGCACGGCTAGTAACGTCAGTGCGCAGGCCCCTCGGGCGTCCCGCGTTCCCAATAGGGGGGGAAGTGGTCCTGTTGATTCAGCCCCGCAATTGCAAATGCCACTTCCGAAAACCGATGGGAAGGTTTCTGAGGGAAAGACGGGCAGCATGGTTCTGCCAGCGGAGTCTTCGTCCGGGTCTGTGGTCACAGCGCCTGGCAAGTTTCCTTCTGCACTCGAAGATGAGGCACTGTCAATTAGAAGCAATGACCGACGGCCGTCTGACGAAGGGGCAACTGCTAACAAGGGGGAAATGGGTACGGCGCCGGGGGGTGTGAATGGACAAGCTGACTGTGTAAAGGGGCGTCACGAGGGGGCAGTGATGGACCAACCTGAGTCTATAAGCTCGTCTTTGGAGCCTGTTCACACCGTCGACGCTGATGAACCTGGGACCAGCGAATTGAAGCAGGAAACCGAGCAACAGCGGGGCATAGTGCGAAATGGTTCGGGGCTAGAGGCTGTCATTCCCACCAGTGACAGCGAGGAAGAGAGTGTGGCTGCAGTGGAAGGGCGGCGAAGCAGTGGGAGCGGGGACGAGAAAGGGGGCGTGTCTGGTGGGGAGACAGAGGGGCAACTGGGGACCGTTTCTGAATCTGTGCAACAACCGCCGAGCGCAGTCGAGGGCGGCGAGTCAGCTGCTGGGTTAGCGGTAGCCGCCACTACTCCAGAAACAAGTAATTCTGAAGAAACGAACCAATCGAGCGCAGTTCGTGCAGAAAGAGAGGGGTTTCCCACACCCATAGAGGCCAGTTCCGCTCGCACAGTAAGTGCAGCTCGTGAGTCGTTGCCAATCCCCCCTGAAGAGGAGATGCCTGGACCCAGCAAACCAGAAAGCAGCACGAAGGAGAAGAAAGCAGGGTCGCATCAGCGGAACTTCTCGATGCGCGAGTATCTGGGGCAAGATCTGTCGGTGAAGGAGATTGAAACGGAGGGCGTCGACACGGATGCGGACAGCGAGAGCGGGACGGATGAGGAGACGGACTCGGATTCAGATGACAGCGAGGATGAGCGCGCGGCGGAACTGCAGCGGCAGAAAGAGGAGGTGAGAGCACGCTCTTGGACGTTTGCTGGGGATTTTTAAGTGACTTCAGTCGATTTGGTCTGTATTAAGATCTCGTGCAACCAATTGTTCGGTCTGCCTCGGATTGGGGAGCATGTTCTGTGGAGAAAAAGTGACTTGCTACAGAATCGATACAGTGCTCGTTCCATGTTTCATCGTTCGCTGGAAGACTAACCTTATGTATCCAACTAAAAAGGTTCTGAAGCCTGAAAAGTTTTCCGAGTATTCTTTGACCTCTCAAGTTCCCTCTAAAGAATGCACGCCAGAACCCGGCCTACAATGGTTCCTTGCCTTGAAATATACCCTCTTTTCTTCGTTCACTTTCGATACTTTTGTGCTCTTTCCGATGCAGGCAGAGCGACAAGCGATCGAGCGGCAGAAGGCGGCCGCCGCCGCGGCTGCGCTCGAAGTGACCGCTGCAGAGACGGCGGGCCGTGCGGTGAAGGAGCGAGAGGACGTCGTGGCGCTGCTGGAGAAGGAGAAGGAGGAGCTGCAACTAGAGGCGGCGGATGCCTTAGAGAAGCACGCAAAAGAGGTAAGCGAGACGAGGTGTTGAGACGAGGAGCGCTTCGTTTCACAGTTTGGTTGAGAAGAGGTGTTTTCCAATTCGCCTCTGTGGTTTGCGAACTATGTTTTCCATCTGCCCTAACCCTCCAATCGGTTGGATAAACGTAAATGAAAGGCCCTTGAGTTCTGGTCGCCCTTAAATAAAATCGACATGCTTCGCCCTGGCAACGATTTTGACATCTTGTAGCATGTTTTGACAAAACCTTTCAGATGTCTCCTTTCTTCTGACTTTGCCCTCTTCGTTTACCGAGCTGGCGGCCGAAAGTTCATAAGGCGTCTGATTCTATTCTGCATCAATATCTATCGCCATCCTTCCCTTGTCACTCGTATGAGACCCCATATAGCGTCCCCCTTCTATCCTTCTATCTTGTTTTCAACCCTCCCGGTCATACAAACGGGCGCCTTCAGTTCGAACAGAACCCCGCCTTAGAGTTGTTTTGGGTTTTGGCTCTCATTATTCTCGTTGGATACCTTTTGGAAGGTCGTACCTCGTGCTAATCAGCTATTATGTTGCCCATGCAGATTGCGCGGCTCCGTGCGACGGCAACAGCAGGGTCCAAAGCCGCCCACGTGGAGAAGTCGTCTCACAGTAGCACCAGAATGGAGACGTACAGCAAAGAGGAACAGCTCGTGGTGAGGGGTCTGGACTGGTGGAAAGGCGTCCGTTGTTGTTTGTTATCCGTCAACTTCTGTTAGGAAGAGGCGAGAGTGGATTGGGTCTGAAAAACAGGTGTCTGAGTCAAAGGTGTTGGATTGCAGAAAAAGGCGTCCGTTTTTCAGAGAAACGGCATTTCATCTCGAAAAAAAGGTTCATGAGTTGCGTCTGATTGTCTGAGACAAGGGTCCGATATGCTGGAAGAGGCGCTCGTTTTACGGGAGGTCGCATCCTTTATGCTCAAATCAGGCTCTTGCGAATGAAGAGGCGCATTGAGCGTACACGAGACTGATCTACCGAGATCCAATGAGCTTTTAAAGCCCACTTCGTGAAATGTCCCGATGTCACTGGTGTCTGGGGCAAAATAGACAATTATTCGGTCCCGCTTGTGTCATCGTCGCCAAGTGCTGACGGAAGTCATCGACTCCTGCAGATGGAGAATATTGAGAAAGCGAAGGCTCTGGCGGCGGCGCAGCGGGCGCTGGAGGGCGTCGTGGCCCAGGCTTTGGAAGCGCGGCGGAGAGTGGAGGAACGGGAACTGCACCGGGCAGGTCAGCGGGCTCCTCTTCCGTTGGATTATTGTTGTGGACTATTTTGCGGATCCGTCGAAACGTGCCTTGTGCTTTGAGGGTTGTCTGCCTGGGGTCAACGGGTAACTTTCTTTCAACGCGTTGAAAATGTGTCCTCTGCTAATAAGGTTGTCTTTCCGATTTTTGGTAACAGCTGCACGCTACGCCCAACGACGCTTTCGGTACCGCTGCACACTTGATGTTTCGGTCTTCCGCAATGGTGCATTGTTATACACCTTCTCGAGCGTCCTGTTGATTGCGTATGCAGCATTGAGCCCTTCTGCTCAGTGTCACTACAATGGTCCGGCAGCTTCTCAGGATGAAGCGAGACCTGTTTGTGCTTCCTTCGTCACGGATTCGTTTGAGCTACGAAACTTGGTTCCTCCTCAACTGACCCTTTTCCTTCCTGCTTTTCCAGAGCTTCAAAAGCAGCTGTCAGAAGCGCAGCAGCAATTGCGACGGCTGCAGGAGAGTCCTGAGCCCGCGGCCTCCACGTCAGCTCAGGCGGCGACCGCGCTTGCCGCCGAGCGGGAGCGCGTGGAAGCTGACGTCACGAGGAAAAAGCAGCGGGTGAGAGGGCAACGGAACCTTTCAACCTCGTTTATAGTACCTATGTCAGATTTCTCTTCTAACAGCTGTCTTTCGTAGCGACCAGGAATAAGAAAAGGAGCCGGGCATAAAGTGGGTCGGATGAACGTAAAGAACCCTCTTCTTGATTTGTAGCACCTTCGCGCGTCCCCAATAGGAACACTTGTCCAGCACGATATGGACGTTTCTGGTTCTCTTGCCAGCACCTTTTCACCCCTTTCTCTAACCTGCCATGCCTCCGTATTCTTCACCTTGCCGTCCTGTTCCGTGTTGTTCCGTTCCGTTCTGGTTCTGTTCCGCTGGCATCGACGACTCAGCGCCGCCCGTGCAGGTTATCGAGCTCGAGGCGCGGCTGGCAGCGGTGGCGGGGCAGAAGCGGGAGCCGAGCGAGCGGGAGCGAGAACTAGAGCGGCGGCTACAGAGCCTGACAGACCACCTGATCCAGAAGCAGGCGCAGGTGGAGGCGCTCGCCAGCGAGAAGGCCACGCTCGCGCTGCGGCTTGAGGTATGCGAGTCTCGCTTTCTCTTGTCCTCGTCTCTTTGGATATCTTGTGCGGTCAGCGAACATTTGGAAATTGGACTTTCCAATAACGCGCGTACGAACTGCTTTTTCTGGAACGAATTTATCTTTGTCTATTTTGTCTCAAGAGAAAGACTCGCACTTCTTCTTCGTCACAATGTACTTGGTGATATTTAGCGCCCCCGGTCAAAAAAGCAGTCTTCGCATGTGATGCTTGTCATCAGAGTGTCCTTGTTCGATATTGCTAGGCTCGCCTCCAGTGTTCCAAAACGTTTCCTGCCTGCACAGAAACGTTGGCATTCTCAAGGGTTGACAAGATCAGAGAAAGCGTTTGCTGAGAAGCAAAATGTTGCTTACCGTCTGTGAACGTTCCCTCCCCAGACCGTCAGCTCGAGCCTGCACGACGACGAGAAGGGCGACGGTCCGTTCCGGAAGCGGAGCAAGCACACCCGGCAGAGCGGAACGGAATGGTGGCTAGAGGACGACCTTGAATACGGCTCCGCCAAGTAGGGCCTCCCACTGCTTCTGGTTTCCGCTCCTCCGCATTCCGCCATCTTCCGATTCCGCTTTTCTCCTAATCCAATGTTTTTCATTTCATTGTGGTACATGGTAATGCCTTTCTGACTCCTTTTTATTTCTCTCGAGCGTCGTTTACCTTCTGAACCCTAATCGACTAGGCGGTAACTTGGTCTTCGAGACAGAGGTTCACGTTACCAACGGGTGCTTTGCTTGCATATTCCATTTACGTCCCTTGCAATGCCGCTCGCCAAGTCGTTTGACTATCCCTTTTCCGGCAACATGGTTGAATTTTGAGTGTCGACCTTTCACGACTTTAGTTGAATGATTTGGGGCTGCGGAACACATGCAAGTGGACAAGAGCAGTTTCGCAAAGCCACTCGCTTGTTCCATTGCTAAGAGTAATTAGCCATTGAGGCTTGACCCCATTTGCTTTTCGCTTCCGCAGCGAGCGTGCTGGTCGGAGTGGCCGCCCGGCCACTTTCGATTCCGACGCTTCTGACGATGACGACTCAAAGAAGCATCGGGGCAGCATCCTCCCGGGCGCCCTCGTCACTGCGCTCCAGCGCTTCGATAGCCTCACTCTCGGCGGCGGGCGGTTCCTCCGGTTCAACACCCCCGCCCGCGTCTTGCTTGCGCTTTATCTCCTCCTGTTGCATGCGTGGGTGCTGTTAGTCTGGTCGGTCCAGTCCGACCATGCACTCAGTAACAGCGCGGCAGGGGTGAATCATGCGGTCGGAGGAGCGGCGAGCAAAGAGGTGTCAGACGTGTGGCTTCCGGGGAGGGGCCACTGACGTCGGCGCTCTGCCTCAAGGTCTGCGACGTCTCAATTCTGAGCTATCATAGAAGGCTTCCGGCATCACCTCTTTCAGTTCGTTGTAAATACATAGGATAACCATGCACGCTACACACAATTCGAACACGATAAGGTTCCACCACCAGTGAAAGCACGAAGCGCAATTCAACCGACGCACCAGTCTCTTGACAATGCATAACCTGTAACATTCATGCGAATGCAGCAGAGGACAACTCAGAGCGTGAGTGCATGTGCATGTATGCCTGTACACAATAAATGTCGGACTCGTGCTAAGCAATCCAATTATAACCTCTTAATTTACATTTTAAAGAGCTAGGCATATTGAATCCGCAACATTCGATGTACCGGATGGCGGCCAAATGATACAATGATAAGCTGGCCAAATTAAGCGCGTCGGATCTAATTGATCCACATTACAAGTGCTCTGTATACATGTACTACGCGCAGACCAACCATGCATAAGGTCATGCGCACTTGGTTGATGGTCAGATCCGTGTCACGCATGTGCCAGCTGTTCGCACATGTTACATACACCGGTCGAATGATCGTTAGTCGCCTCTGAATGGCCGCATATTACCGTCCTGATGTGTTCGAAGTTAGTATAGGCTAGCGCGTTTGCGCAGGTTGCACATCTAGACTGTTCCCACTCGGACAAAAGGTCCTGCCTCCTACCATTCTATCGATGTCATGGTGCCCATGTCAGCGTGCAATTGTGCAGACACACTCAATGTTTTCATAGTGTGCAACCGGATCGATGAAAGAGCAAGCTACTTCCTGAGCTATCCGTCTTCATCAGCGGCACGCACGCGATATCTCTTGTTCGGCCTTTCACCATTGCTTTTCTTCCTGAAGCCCCGAAGCTCACCATTGCCTTCAGCCCCCACTGACTCGCTCATCTCATTATCTTCCTCGTCATTATACAGCGACTGCGTCAGCTCCTCTATGCTAGCGGCGATCGGTATCTGAGGCTTCGGCGCACCTGCACCGTTCTCTTCATCCTTAACCCCTCTTTCATTGCCCTTTGCACTATCTACATCCTTCTCAGCGACACATTTCCGCCGCTTTACAAACTTTACAGGCAGGTTCGACCTCTCCCCCTCCATCGCGCTCACATCAGCTCCCTCCGCTTCTACAGAAACATCCCCGTTAGTCTCACCCCCCGCTTGCGGCATCTCCGCCGCTTCCTCAAAGCGGATGTTCCCAATCTCCCCCTTGAGCCGCCCCACTGCCGCTAGAAAAGCCCCTTCGTTCTGCTTCGCTTCGGACGCTGTCCCGTCCATATTCCGCTCGTCCTCTTCGTCCGACCAGTCCAGCGTGTACACCGTATACCGTTCTGGATGCCGTACATGATCCGGAACCCGGCTCGCCTGCGCAGCATACCCGGGCCGCCGGTGTGGTGGCACGTAGCGCTCCCCGTTTGCCACCCCCCTGCCTCTTGAACCCTGTAAGCTTCCCCCCGCTGCCCCGCGCCCAGGGCCACCCCTAAAGAGTTTCCCCAAGTCCTCTTCCGTCTCCTTGTCCCGGGCTCTCTGCTCATCCCGGTCGGTAACCTCCTCGGTGAAACGGACCCGCTTCTTAGACCGGGGTTCGTCTGCCTCGATGCCCGGCTTCTCAGGTGGCCGTTTCAGCGCCCCAGCCGCGGGGGCGGGTTTGACGTTGTTTGACATGAACCCGCTTCGGTAGTTTGGAAAATTCAGCGGTTGTTCGTCCGGAATTGGCTCCGCCCCATCTACAAGATCTGCAGCGCCCTGTTCTTTCTCATCCAAGCCGTTGGTTCTCGACGGCCCTGCCTCAGAAGCGGAGCTAAAAGGCAACACTCCTTCCACCGGAGAATCCTCAACAGCGTCCTCCGATCCACTCTCCTCCCATCCTTTGCTCCCAGCCTCACCTCCAACTCGCTCTTTGCTTGCTTCGGCATCATCAAAAGCTGCTTCGTCAAACTCCACATCCCTGGTACCAGCTTCCCTGGAACCTTCCGCACTCTGCTCCGAAACCCCACCCTTTCCTTCATCCATTTCCTCAGCCTCCTCATTTTCCCGACCAACTAGTTCCACAGCTCGCTTTAGGGCTTTCGTTGAGCCTGGCTTGCTGGGGGCCTGCCCTGAAGTTTCCTCTGCTCCGCCGCGCTCCACAATCTTCGCCCGCTCTAGTTCCTCGTCGTCCTCTTGCAGCCGTTTCGCTGCGGCGTCACGGTTGGCCCGCAGGTCCCGGCGCCCGCGCGAGAAGCTGACGTGCTTTGCAAACGGCTCGTCCGCATCGCCGATTGCTGACGTGTGCATGCGACCCAGAGGATCTGTCCCGGTGGGGGCCGCCATGCGGTCGTAGCCGTCCTCTTCTTCCTAAAGGAAACGAATGAAGACCTGGGTGAATACTTAACCGACTTCAGGTCCGTCCTGCTCTAGTCTTGCAAGTACTCCTGGCTTAGGGCTGGGTTGGCTCAGGATGTATTTGAAGAAGGCTGAAACTTTGCAGCCACAGTTGCTTTAAGTCGAGGCTTGTTTGGTCACTCATGTTGTCTAAAGTTTTAGTGGCTCTTGGCTGGTTTTTGACCATTGCAGAGGTGCGACAAGGCAAAGCGTTGGCCAATTTTTTTTACGAGTGGACAGTTGTTTCCCCACTTCTCTTTCCGTCTGCTTGTCGCCCCTCTTTCTGCAACATTGTTCAAGCATAGGTTTCGCGTTCTCAAACCAAGCCAGAGGGCCAACTTGCGAAGGCCACTCCCTGAGATACCTCTTCATACTATTACAAAGAGTGAATCAGAGTGATTTGAGTGCTTCTTAAGTTCGGGGCTTGAGAAGTGACGAGCTTCTGAGCCGGAGGAAGAGTGCAGCTCAAAAAGCTGGACTACCATCACGTGACTTGGGCAGCCAGCCAAACAATCAACCAGCTCTGCTTCAGCTTGCGGTTGAAGAGATTCAAGAGACTGAACCAGATGGCATTCTCATGATTCTTTTAAGCATCAATAAAGATCTTGACTCTTCAGTATAATATCCACGACCAGATGACATACCGGCCTTGTCAATGTGCCTCGCTTGAAAGTCTGAACATATATCATAAAGAGCACACCGCCCTTTTCAAAGTCCCCAAACACTTGATTGCACCCAAAGTTTTTGCCTGAAAGGACCGCCCCAGCCATGCACAGAGAAACCAACTCGGTTCTTCTAATAAAGCATCATTAGCAATCTGCAGACAACAGGAAGAAACGGCACTTCCCACCACCACTATTTGCAAAACCGGTGCATGCCGACCCACCTCATTGTCAAGCGCATCGTCTTGTCCAATCATCTGCCGCACCCACTCTCCTTCCTCCTCAGCGTTCTCCGGCTCTTCTGTCAGCGGAACGTAGCTCACCATCTCTCCCTCTGCATCCCCGTCCCCCTCTTCATCCCCTTCCCCCTCTCGTCCTTTTGAAACCTCCCCCTTCCTCTTCTTATCAAACTCATCATCATCGCTGCTCTCAATCTCCTCCCACATCCGTTTCTTGCGCTCAACTTTCTGGGCGACAGACCACAGCGGTGCACCATCAGCAGTCTTTTCAGGGCCAGGTAGAACCACATCCCTCCTTTTTGAAACAAGACCAAACCCCCGGGACGAAGCTAGCTGCCAATCAGAAACAGGTTCAGAAACGCCAGCGTTGTCTCCCGTGACGGGCCTGATCGCTTCTGTGCTGGATACAAAAGTACGGTCACCGTCAATGACAGCAGCTGTCTGGGGAGGTGTTCCTGAAGTTTGAGTCCCAGACAACGGCATGGCCCCTCCAAGGGCACCAAAGGCCCGCGCCACCCTATCGCTGAAGGCCTCCATCTTCTCTTCTCTGAAGCTGCGCAAACGAGTCCACACATGTGCACCATGTTGTCATTGAAAATGCTTCGAAGTTTGAAGGCTCTCACGAACTCCCTTGCTATTCTCCAGATTTTCTTTTGAGATAAAATCTTACTTTGTATTGCTCCCAAATTCTTCTAATTTGGCGGCCAACTTTTAGATTTTCAGATCTTCAGAGGCCTTGTTTTACGCCTTGTAGTACGCTCACTCAGATTGTGACTCCAGCTCGGGAATCGACAACGTCCAGGTTGGATCCTGTGCAAGCAAAGCATATAAGCGACATAAAGGAGCTCATATATGGCCTCTATTTTCTAATTTCTTTCATTGTTTTTGCATTTCTTATCAAGGTTAATTTTGTCAGCTGCTGGAAGCAGGCAAGCTGCACAAACTATTGAAGACGCAGGAAGAAACAGGAAGGTTGAGTGCGAGGTCCCTTCGCAATGCTGGTGGATAGCTGAAAACAGCTGCTCAATTCTATGATCTTATGTTGTAGAGCTTGGACTCGGCATACAGGCGTCAGATCTCTTTTTGTGCTCCCGTCTCACAATGTGATGGCGCCAAAGAGAAGCGCAGCAGCAGCTCAAGCCACACTCCCTTCTAGAACGTCAAAACGGCTGAAGCAGTCAACAACACTAGAGCATCTCTGGGGAAAAGCTTCAGAGAGTTCCCCATCGCGTCCAAAAAAGCCACAATTGAGAACTGGATTGAAAGCCAAGGGCATCAAAAACCAGGAAGCTCACAATGCTGGTGCAAAGTCACAAGCAGGAATGACAAAGGAGAGATCAGCCAGGGAAGATAGTCCTGATGTTGGGCATGGGAATATAGGAGAAATTGAAGACATTGGGGGCAAACAGACATGCTTTAGAGGGGAGGAAATTGCCCCCCTGAGAAAAGGACTCCTGCGCTGGTATGACCGGAATCATCGAGAACTTCCCTGGCGGATCAACCCGCATTCTCAGCTCAAAAAGACTGATTTGTCCGACGCAACCGACACTGTTCAGGAAGTTCCAAGTAAGAAGCGCCAGAAACAGGGCGGCAAACGAGTTGCCCCACAAGAAGGCCCTGCTGGAGTGCCAGACACGGTGTTGAAAGAGAGTGTGTTAGAGCTGGCCAAAGCGGAGGGAGTGGAGAACAGGGCCTATGCGGTGTGGGTGTCTGAGGTGATGTGCCAGCAAACTAGGGTAGTGGTGGTAATGGACTACTTCAGAAAGTGGATGGAGAAGTGGCCCACGGTTGGGGAATTGGCGCAAGCGACGCAGGAAGTGAGTGCATAGTCCTGTAGATACCCTGCTAGAAAGACAATAGGAATGTTCTATGCTTGAAAGAACTCCGTTCTGAGAAACTACATAGAACTTCTTTGACTTCCTTACGTTTGCGAGGATAGGACGAGGTTAGCCTTGATACATCTGCTAGATTTAAATTCTCTATGCACAGTCTCATAAGACTTCCTGATGTCTAAAGTCCCCGTTAAGACAGAGGCAAGACCAGGACACATTAGAATTCTGCTGCTTGCATTTTGTTCTGTTAGTCCCCGTTGTTTCCAACAAGCACTGAAACTATGTTAACCCGCTGGTTAACCAGGAAGTCATCCAAGTTTGGGCTGGCCTAGGTTACTACCGCCGCGCGCGCTTCTTACTCGAGGGGGCCAAGTACATAATGTCCACTCTGGGGGGCCGCTTCCCAAGCACCGTCCCTGAGTTGCTCAAAGTGCCAGGCATCGGGGCATACACGGCAGGGGCGATCGCTTCGATCGCATTTGATGTTCGGGCGCCGGTTGTAGACGGGAACGTTGTTCGCGTGTTGTCAAGGCTGAGAGCGATCAGCGGGGATCCTACCGAGAAGGGGAACGTAAAGGTGCATTGGTGAGCGACTTTCACTTCAACCTGCTTTCCTCTTCCAATTCTTTTGAGATCGAATAACAGACATCCCTGAACGAATTGATGAGACCAGGCGGTCAGAAAACCCGAGTGCCCCATTCCAGCCTTGTTTCGACTGAGGCGGTCTGTTCCAACATACTCTCTCCTTGTAACGAGCTTTGGCAGAACGGATGTAGAAGACCTTCAAACGGTTTCTTTCGGTTTACAGAAAACTCAAGCAAATCTGACCAAAGGTCCTTTGACGATACCTGAAGGATCGATGCTAGACTGAGAGAGTATTGTGGTTTAATCAATGCTCGTCTTGTTGGACGCCATCGAATTTCAAGCGACCCTCAGTTTCTCGAACCAAATACGGAAGGAACCCAACGTCTAGAAAAAGATGCACGTCTGCTTTTTGAGTCAATCTATCTTCGCTTGCCAGGTCGCTTGCCGAGCAGCTGGTTGATGCGATCCGCCCTGGCTGCTTCAACCAGGCGCTGATGGAGCTAGGCGCGATGGTCTGCACCCCGACCTCACCAGACTGCTCGGGTTGCCCAGTTTCCGGGCACTGCCAGGCCCTTAAGCTTGCGGAATCGGGGATAGGTGGACCGGTCACCGAGTTCCCAGGAAAGAAGGTGAAGAAAGCCCCCCGGGAGGAGACCGTTGCCGTGTGTGTTGTCGAGTTGCGGAAAGGTGAGGCTTCCTTGCCTTAAACTGAGACTGGTTTCCTGGTTACGACTGGGCTTCAGGTATTCAGGGCTCGAAGGTCCGATCACTCATTTCAGAGAAGCTCCCTCGACAGCTTGGATCTACGAGCCTCTTGGAACAGTGCCCGGACTTTGTCCGTTTTGTCGTAAGTGTTCTGTTGATTCTTCGAGTCGCCCGCACGTGTCCGCTCGTTAGAACAGTTTTCGTGCCGTTGATCAGTATCATTCGAAGGGTTTCAAATGCACGCTTCTGAAAGCGTGCCCTTTCCACAGGATTAGACGCTGCGGCAACTCAGTTTCGCACTGGTGCTTTTCGAAGCTCTGAACTCGCCGTTTTTCCAGTCCGAGAACGTTACCTCAGCCGCTGTTTGTCCAACTCTACTTTCTCAACTTCGCGGTTACCTTCAACGAAAGTTACATCAGTATTCGTACGTCCTGACGAGTCTCACTTGTCTGCAGGTGAAAAACCCGGGCGATCCGTGGAGGCGTCCCCCGAGTACCTGCTTATCCAACGGCCCAAAACGGGCCTCCTCGCTGGGCTGTGGGAATTTCCGACCGTTTCCGTCGCCTCGAAAGCGAGCAAAAGCGTTCGGCGAAGCGCGCTAGACTCGTTGCTTGCGCGCCTTCTTCCTGGGGGGTACGAAACTTCGGAACGGCACGAAGTTGGGGAATATGTCCACGTCTTTTCGCACGTTCGGCAGACGATGTTGATAGAGCGACTGGTTATCACAGAAATGAAGAGCGGACAGAACGGAAAAGGTGTGAAGAGGCAACGAGAAGGGGTGGGCGGCGAATTAGAGGACGAAAGCGAGGGTTCGACTCCGCAAACCCGGTGGGTTCCTGAGGAAGAGATGACGTCAGTCGGCCTGACGAGTGGCGTCAAGAAGGTGAGGATTACCCCGAACTTTTCCCGGAGGTCTAAGGGCAGCCGTCAGGCAACCTCTCCGTGCAATGCTAAAAACGGTGCGTCTAGTTCCTGACATGACGGAGGGGAGTAGGTCAACAAGAGGTAGCTAAGTAGACTCTATTCAAACCTTGCTTGAAGATTTTTGGTGGGCGTTACTCCGTTGACCACCTCAGCAGTAATGGACTGCGTCGCGCATTGTCGACTTTACGGAACCTACCTGTCCACACGATGATTCTGGCGATCAGGCTGATGCCGTTAGTACGTGGTTACAGACAATAGTCAAATGATGGTTAATGGAAAAACACCGACTGTGTTGCGTCAATCATATGTGAGCGAGGTCCGAGATACACAGTTGAAACTGAAGCAGCCGTTGACCTCTTTTTGCTTCGCTGGCAGGTTCTTGACATGGCTCGGAAGAGCCGCGCCCTCACTACTCAGAAAAGCTGAGGGTGAAAACCGGGTACAGCTTCCTTTCTGGAGGTGACCGCAAACGTCGTCCGAGGCTTAGAGCAGCTTGCAGCTATATCGGGGCCTCGGGAACTCTGTTTGAGTACCTACTCTGAACTGACCGTTTGGATCATGGTCGCTAGCACTCTAGCGAGCCTTGTTTTGAGATCTGAGTGACACCTGCAACATGACATTTCTCTACTGAGATTTGACCAGTAGCTCGGACGCAGTTTTGTCAAGTAGCTAGGCCGGGCCGGACTGGGACTCGACCGAATTGCTCGATGGCCGCTGCCGCCAAGAATCATATCTTATCTGGTCACTGCGTCGTCAGAACGTAAGTATATTTTGATGTGGCCCGCAGCCGAAGATAACGCTCGCATGCAATGCGGTGCCGCAGTGCGGCCCGCACACATCTTGTCCGAGCCCAGGCCACCACCTCGATTTATCAAACTTTGAATGTATGCACGTCGTACCTCGGGTAATCATGCATTATCGAGGTAGAGCTCTCATGCATTTAGGAAGCATCATGGCGCGCTTGTATATTCAAGATCAACATTCGGGAGGCGCCCATGCCTGCAGCGTCACGTTGAAACTGATGAAGCATACATGCGCGGATGTGAGTCACTGATTGACATTCGACCTCACGATCTTGATGTGATCTTACTTTGCTACTGGCCTGTCGATCGTTGCACGTATTCAGCAGGATCAAGAAGCACACAAATCTTACACCATAACATTCGGCTTCATTGACTTTGACGGGCCGTGCGAAATCAGCTGCGATTCGGATGCGCGTGCGCATAGAGAGCGCGTGTTGCGCGCAAGCATTTGCCAGATCTTGCATCCCGCTTGCGAACCACTATGCCTTTCAAAGCCTGTCGCTGCCACAGCCTGGCTTGACAGCCTGCACGCTGGCCATAGCTCTTTTAAGGGAACTTCAGCATTCACGCGATGTGCCAGCAACCCATCTTTCGAGGAAAAGCAAGTTGCCCTTTGAAGATAAGGGGAAACAAGGATGGCCGCCTTGTCAGGAATGCCTGAGGTGTTTGCATGTACGAGCGTGAGATTGTAGGGGACAGTGAACTTTGAACCGCGAAGTGTTTTCTTCTGGGGCCGCGCGCGCAATTATTAGGGCGGAATGGAGGACCTAGTCGCTGATTGGGCGTCCCAGCTTCTTTCTGACAATCCTAGGACCCTGCACCAAGCACACAGCTCTCTCGTGAAAATGCCGGCGACCAGGCCTCTAGGCTGCACCTTCTTTCCAAGATTGATTCAAGAATTGGCGATCTACCAGCAAGGGTATGTTGTAAAGAAGTTAGTGACCCAGGCGCTCGGCCAGAGCAGCCTTTCAGGATCTGAAACTTCGGAGAATGCCAACAGTGCTTCCAGCTGTGCCGTTGCAGGGAGCAGAACAGAACTTGCTCACGCGTCCTTAAGTCTCCTCGTCAGCCTCTCATCGAGCAAGGCCTTTGCGCTCTTCTGTCAAGATTACGAGGGGGTTAGCGAGAAGCTTCTGTGCTGCTTTGTGGAAAACCTCAAGTTATCCAAGCGTCCTACAGTGGAAGAAGATGCTTCCAACACCGCTAAATACATTGCGCAACATCTTCCGGCTGCCTGCCTTGATGGATTGATACTTCACGCCCGAGCTTCAGAAATGTTTCGTCAGCTCATTCGTGCGCATAAGAAAGTGCTGCCCGCCGTCCTGTCTCTCTTCGAGGACGACACCATCAAGCATCTGAGTGATGAGGGCATCTCACAACTGAGGCAAGGAGTGACCAGTCTGGTTATGGCCCTTGCTTTTGCAAAGGACAGTCAAGAGTGGATGATTGAGCAAGGGTACATCCGGCTCCTGGCAAGTATTCGTGGCGCAGGCGTTGGCCATATATCCTCGGAAGCGAGAGACAGATGTACACACATTTCTATGCTTATCATCCTTCGTTTGGTCGAGACCTCAGCCCTTGTGAGGAAGATGAGAGAAGCTAGGGTGCTCTCTATTCTTGAGCCATTTTCAACATTATTCGACTCAGAATTGCCCGGAGTTTGGCAAACTGTCAAAGGATTGCTTACAGGCAGGCATAGGATCTGCCAGGCCAAGATGCCTAAGACTGTAGCGACGTACAATCGGGTGTGCAAGCGGATTCAAGTAGGTGTTCCAACGGTTTGTTCCTGGGAAGGTTGCTCAAAGGCAGAGAGCCGCGAAGGTTTCGACGCGTCAAGCGCGTCCGATCTCGTGAAGTATCTGAAGGAGGTGAAGAGCCTGAAGTTCAGCAGGTGTGGACGCTGCACGGCTGCGTACTACTGCAGGTAAGTAGGGTCAGCTTGACACTACAGCTGCTTCATCCGCAGGGAACGTTGGACACACGGTCCTGCACGTAATAGGAGTTCCTGGCAGTTGATTATGATGTGAACCAGCTTTGTGAAGTTGCTGGGCCAGTTTGCGATAGAGGCATGGCGATTGGAACTGACGGAAAGCTTTTGGCAAACCATCTAAATTCTCTAGGAGACGGGAGAAGTGTATCTTTCAATGTTTTGCCATGTCCTTCCTGTGTGCACCTTTTCCACCTCTAGGTACGGCCCAAAGAGTAGCTGTTGCATCAAACCCGCACCTATCTCGAATGTTTGTCAAAGTCGACTGACACGGTCCTTTTTCTAATGTGCCTGCAGCAAAGATCACCAAAAGCTTCACTGGCCAACGCACAAGAAGCACTGTTTCAACAAGGGTAAGAAGCAACCATAGATAAGTCCATCTCAGTGACGGGGTCGTTCAATTTCATAGTGGCCACCTTAATGTAGTCCCAATCAATCCGCAGGCATCATGGAGCCCGTTCAGAACGACAATAGTCCAAAGTCGACCCTTTGTGTTGCCAACCTCGCGGCCAGCGTGTACTAAACGGATTCTGGATTTCCAACTTTGTACGTGAAGCAAATACCTGTAATCTTGACAAGCTGTACAAATCTCAAATCCCTAACTTGAACGTGATAAACAGAAGTCGGCCTTCGCTGGGAAAGGATGCCCTTTTCACCGGCCACATGGAAAGTTGAGTGACGTGTAGAGCGTGCCGATTCTGTTCCACAATCCGTCGGCCGCTACAGTCCCCTCATCTTGAAAAAAGTCTGATTGCTGCGACCAGCTCCGACTACACACATCAGCATGGATAGTTTGCAGTGCATGACCATTTTATGTTTGCTCATGGGGTCAGCGCATCGTTGCAACGAGTTTCGCATGCTAATAATAGGTGTCAAGTGCAACTTCGTCATGCAGGCTTGCGTTGCAAATCCAGTATGAGCTGTCGTTCGCGGATCCACTGCGGCAGGCGTTATGTTGCCGCTTGTCGTACACTGTCGCAATTGGTGGAACATCCCGTGTCTTGAAGGTCAGAGTTTCATGTCAATAGTGGGCGCGTCATGGACGATTATAATGCAAGATGCAACGGGCACGCGTCGAAAGTTGCCCGAATATAGTTTTATCTTGAAGTTGATCAATCATTAATCTGGCATGAGCTCTCGCATTGCAAGCCGGTTGTAAAATGTTAGTGCCATTATTGGCGTAGCTTCACTTGGACTAGGCCGGGAAAGGCTGCAGCTAGTAGAGCGCACATGGCCGGCTTCAAGAAACTCCAAGCGACTTCTCGGCAGGCGCCGCATATATGGCTTTTCAATGAACCTACGTCTGCGATTTTCATGTAATCCGCGTCACTTGTCATTGCTGCATGACGTAGCCATTCAGCAGATTGGGCATAATTTAACCACCGTCATGCAATGAGTCAGGAAGGATAGATCGCCATGATCTAGCTCGCTTACAAACCTTGCGCCGCCATGGACTGATATACGTTGCAAAAAATCTCCTCGTCCGCGGGACACGTATTGACATGGTTGTCATGCAGATTGCTTTCGGGAGCGAGCCCAGGCTGCGCGGCCGGACTGACTACTGCCTGCAGCCACGGCCAACTGCGCCCGTAGATGGTCACGTTGCATGCTAGCTGGCGCTGCACTTGTAAATGGTAACCGCCAATGGCCTGCGGCAAATCTAGGATGTCCGGCGAGAACAGGCTTCTTTGCAAGGCTCCTTTCAAAGGTGTAAGAGACAGTACCGAGAACAAACACAGCTCCAAATTGCGCAGATAGGGAGAACAGCTCGTTCGTTTGGCTACAAGCTGTCCGACTGGTGTAAGACGCAACCTCGTCGATGTTCGACGTTCCAATCTTCCGCACAAGTACTTCTACCTTCTAGACTGAGACTTGCTTCCCCGTTACACGTTTGCAGTCCCTTGTCTAAGTAAGGGACTCCTGTTAGCCTAATCTACCGAGCACGCAACTGAGTCCCCCGTCTCTAGGCCTCTTCCGCATCCTTCTTCTTTTTCTTCTTCTTCTTCTCCGACACTTCACTCGGTGCCTCTCCCTCTTCGCTCTCCGCCTTCCGCTTCTTCTTCTTCTTACTCGGCTCTTCCGAAACCTCCGCTTCCGCCTCTCCGTTCGTCTCGAAGTATCGCTCCTTCTTTTTCTTTTTCTTCTTCTCGCCGTTCTCTGACGGACCCGCAACCGCCTCTTCTTCCTCCGGCTCTTGCTTCGCTTTCTTCTTTTTCGGCACCTCGGCCTCTGCCGCGTCCCCTTCGTCTGCGGAAGCGTCCTTCTTCTTTTTCTTCTTCTTGCCGTCAGTGTCCGGCTTTTGCGTCGAGGCGGCTAGCGTGCTATCGGCGGCGGGGTTGTACGTCTGTAGCAAAAAGGGAGAATTGACATCAGCCCCACGGTCTGTTACAAATGGTGGTTCCGATTTCAGAGGCTAATCGACCAGGAGCCTCCATGACTTGGTGACAGGGCGATGCCGCATCCGCCATCCGCACCAGGTAATCAATACTGGTCAGCAAACACTTTTGGTGACGTCACAGTCCTCCTCAGCATGACCGTCCAAAGAATGGACTTTTGACTTTCACGATCTAGTTATGACAATCAAGCATCATTCTGTTGAGTGGAGGACACCGTAAAACAACACGGACACCCCTGGATCCGCCTAACTCTCAAAAGCCAGCCAGGTCCTAACAAGGTATTGACGTCACGCTGACCTTTGCTGCCGTCAGGAGCGCCGGCGCGTCGGGCTTCCTCTCGGCATCGTACTTGGACGCAGACTTATTGCCAATAGTCACCCTTCCGCCGGCCTTGCCCTCAAGCTGCCGCAACCTCGTCTCCACCTTTTGCCTGCGGAGACAAAGACACCGAAAGTGTTCAGCTCTCTTCCCTCCTCCGTCTCTAGATCTGATTGTGCCATTCATTGTTCATACTTGTAAGTCGGCATTCGCACCCACAGATCTTTTTTGTTTCACTTTTCCTTATCCTCTGAAGCATTGAAGTTCGTAATACCCCGTATCGCAATGCACAGGAGCACCCACTTAGACCACCTGTCTCGGCTCTCAATCTCGTACAATTTTAAGGGAACCGTACAGACCTTGACGTCAAAAGCAGAATCGGCCTAATCAACAAAGCATCCGCACGGACTGCGGGCCGACTCTTTTTTGCTGCGCCTCTTTTGAACCGAATGCCCTCGCCTGAAAAGGTTGGGTGCTGATGCTGTAGCCTGTAGAGTAAGCGAGAAGGTGAAACTACCAGAACTTCGTGTAACTGGGTAGATCCAGATGACCCAGAACTATAGCAAACGTGACCCAAGACAGAAACACCCCTCACCTGTTCTCCATCCCAATCGTGGCGTCCGCCGACTCCCCTAGCGCGTCCACCCTGATAGAGAGCGCGCACTTGGCCGCCAAGATACGCGAGATCTTGCCCTTGTACTTGGGCGGGGCCTGCCCGATCAGCGACGCGTGGTAGATCAAACCGTACTTGGGCGTCTCGTGCTTCGTCTTCAAAGCACGGAACAGCGCCTGTAAAAGGGGGACAGATGAGAAGGGTCAGTTCTTGGACCGCCACTGGTTGCAGGAAGTTCCATCCTCTTGTACGGACCTTCCTTGACGAGAAGCAAGTCAAACGAAGGAATCGAATGTCGGAAACTCCGTGTCTTGGAAATAAAGTCTTCAAACATATTTCAAGTCTTCGAGGAAAATTCACTTCTCGCAAGGAATTGAGCGTTCAATAGCTATTCAAAGTCAAAAAGATTGTTCATCCCGGGAGTGTCAACTTCTCTTCCGTCCTACGTGAAATGCTTCCAGAAAGGGTCGACAGATCAATTTCGGGGGCATGTATTCGCTTCGTTCTACTTACAAAAACCACTGAAGGAAGGCTGCAGTCGGGAGCTCAATATTGGACGAGGAACAGACGTACGCTGCTTTCTGCCTTGCCTGCCACCAGGACCAGCGAAACGCAACGACCGAATCCTGGAGTAAGTCACAAGAGAATCAAGGAGAGATGCCGACAAACCACCATATACTGGTAGGAGAGGCGGCGACTTCAGCACAGAAGAGAGCCCCACCTTCTCAGCGCCCAGGATCTGCACGGTGCTCGCGGGCTGCTTGGCCAGCTGGATCAAGCTCCCCGCGTGCGCGATCAGGCGCGCGCCGACCAGCTCCCCGACGAGGACCGTCAGATTGGGCGCGATCGCGTTCATGCGCGAGCGCAGGTAGTCGAAGAGCTGCGCGCGGTACTCGGAGAGCGAGATGACCTGGTCGCACAGCATGATGATGTTGGCAAGGTCCTGCGGGGAGATCTCCGTGCCCATGGAGATCACGGCGGCCTCCTTCAGGGACGCCTCGACCTCCTCTTCCAGGATCTGCAGCAGGAAGCGAGCGGAGAGCGCGTCAGATACGAAATGCAAACGGTGCGAAATTTGCTCCATGCGAGACGTCAAGCCTCGAGAATATGTCAGAAACATATTTCTGCATTATGACAACGGTCCAGTAATACTTTTGGACACCAGCAGAAATTTAAACCTGCCTTTCAGACTGAGAGCGAAAAGTACGAGGTGAGTTGATAGAAGGGTCCTGACCTTTAGCAACTAGGTAATCGCACTCTCGAAGACAGGCTTGCAGAAACCGACCCCGCCCAAAAGCAGAATCTTCGACTTACAGAACCCAGACATCAATCCAGAAGGTCGAGACTCCCAGTGGTGAAGGGCATGCCCAAATACTGCACAGCCTCGCCAGCCCGAAAACAGCACTCATCTCAATCCCCAAGCCCCCAATCCAAGTTAGTAGCAAAGCATGACCCATCAAAACTAACGGCAAAACCAGTTCCAAAGGTTGAGAGACCCACCCCCGAGAAGTCAAGGTCGGCGGCGTTGGAGCGCAGGCCCATGAACTTGACGGACTTGGCGTACTGGATGTTGTCGGCGACCACCTTGCCCATCTCGGGGAAGTGCCAGCCGTACCACTCGCGCACACGCATCGCGTACGTGTTCAGCTCCTTGTCCAGGTCGTCCAGCAGCCCGATCGCCTGCACAATCATCGTGTCCACCTGCGGGAAACGACGCCACGTATCAGCTCGCTGTTGGTGAGCGTAATTGGTCTCCGACATGAGGAGCTGTTGTAACTTTAAGAGCCGAACCTCCGTGCAGAAGTATCGGGTGTAAGTGCAAGCGAATGTTGGGTGGCTCTCCTTGCGGCCCCCTGTCAGTGGGCCACAAAATAGTTTCTTTCTTCTTTCAAAACAATGGAGCAATTCGTGTGAATGATTGTTGGGTCAGTCTTCATAGCACTCGGTCAGATGGAACCCCAATCGATACTCTTGATCCATTGACTCTTGCGCGTCTCTCTTGGACTCTGTGACTTGATAACGGAGGCCTACGATCAAAGTACCAATTGACCCATGTGCCAAATGGACACTTTCCAGCAGACTCTGCCCTTATACCAACTTTTTTGGAAGTACTCGGGAGCCCAACGGCCCACATTTGACACAGCTCTCCAACCGAAAGAAGCCCACAAAAATGGTCCAGAAAGGAGAGTACCCTCATCCGTAAACCTTTCATCCTCTCCTTGACCATCTTGCACTACTTGTGTTCAATCCATATCTCCATCACCTCTCGAGCCCTCTCACCTAAAAGTCTAGTGCACAAAAGCCCTATAGAAAACGCTGCTCAGTTTCTGCAGCTTACCTTATCAGGGCTGAACTTGAGCTTGTAGCGCGAGAGACTGTGGGACAGCCCAAGTGACATGGGCGCCAAGTCCTGGTCGCCCAACCCGCCCACCAGCTCCGTGAGCTGCGACCGAATTCCACGGAACAGCTCCATGATCTGCATAAAGGAATCCGCGGATGAGCCAAGGAACTTGGATCGGAAGGTCCTGTATACCATTGAGTTGATCACTCAGAATCGTGCATTAGCTTGCGAGAATCCCCCTGTGCAGTTTCCTGCCTGTCGGCTACTGCAGAATGTGCTGCAGGCAACTGAAGCTGCTTCAAAGGGGGGTTCGAATCATTCAAACACTCGACACAAGCTTCAAGATTGCTACGACCAGGTGCTCTTCAGGAAAGCCACAATCAACAACAACACATGTACCACCTAATCCACAGCAAAAGCCCACACAAACACACTCGGAATTAAAGGAACGGGCTTTACTCGGGATACGCCTGAGATAAAACGAGCGGGCATTAGTAGGCATACAGCCGGGATTAAACAGCAGGCTTTACTCCGCACACACCCAGAATTAAAGGAACGGGCTTTACGCAGCTTTTTTTTTCAGTTGCGCCTCATTGTTTGCCACTCAACGACCTATTATTGGTGGACATATTCCACAGGAAGAGCGCTCCCCAAGATTCATTGCAGGAAGAGCGCTCGCAAGAGTTGTCGCCAACTCACGGCAGCATTGTGGACGCAGTTGACATTGAGCTTCTCTTTGACGATGTTCCCCAGCTTGGAGTCAGCGATGGCGAGCGTCTCGCCCTTGCAGTGCTCCTTGATGAACTTGCGCAGGCCCTTGCTCAGCTTGCTCTCCACCAGAGCCGTTGCAGCGCCAAGCGCCGCCGCCGTGTTGTCAAACTTGTCAAATGCGGCCAGCTTGACCACCTGGAGGACAGGGAAAACCGCGGTGAGTTTGAGCTTAGTGAAACCTTATAAGTTGGAAGCACGGGGCGGCAATGACGATATGAGCACTCAGGTTCGCTTGTACCGCCGGCCACATTGTAAGGTAGGAAGAAAGGTGCGCGGATGAGTTTTCTAGCACCAACCGGGGAGCAAGGTTGCTACATAACCACTGCGGTTGTCAAATTGGTCAAAAGCTGCCAGCTTCACCATCTCACAACAGTGAGTCAAGGAAGAGATAAAGTGGTTGATTTTAAAAAGAGTGCAAATTTGATTGGGTCTGCATCTTAATGGCAGTGTGTACAAGCTTTCCGCGGATCAGCACACTGCCGCAAACCGAAAACCGAGAGTGGTGCCGCAAAACAGAAGACTCTTCCTCAGAAAAGAAACAGTATTGCAGAAGCTGGCGATAGCGCTTGAACCAGATTGCCAAAGGAAGCAGGGATGATGATAGAAGGCAAGAGTTGCAAAGCAAACCACAATGCGCGGTCAGAATGATGGTAAACTCACCTTGGCAGCTGCCTCCGGTGTTTCAAACGACTTGTACAGATCCTGCAGAGAGCCAAGGGCAAAAACGTGTTTAGCGGCACCGAAGAATGCAGTCTTACAAGCGTCAGCGACAATCCACAGACCTTCTGAAAGTGCCATGGCCAACAAGTAACCCAAACACTGAGCTACTTCATCAAGCCTCAAGTAGGCCACACCACCAAGGAGCTGATGAAACCTTAAAGGCCATCATGCCCAGGTCTTGGTGATAGGGGCTGAATCACCAGAACAACTATATGCTTAATGGAGTATGGGCGGAGGACATTGTGTGAGAAGCCCATCAATGTCAGATATTGAGCAAAGTGGTAACGGTTGGCCCGCCAACACGAGAGTTCAGGTAATGGTGGCAAACCACCCACTGGTATTGTGACCACCAGATCTTGTGGTAATGCTGCTGGAAAGAGATACTCACATCGACCTTGTCAAGCTTGCCCTCGTCTAGGACCTTGAACAGGGCGTGCCCTGCGGGCGTCTCAAAAAGGAGCAACATGATGGCGCCTTGACCACTTTGCTACGACGATGCACCACCGTGGAAGGCAGCCGGCAAGAAAGTGCCCGTAACCCAGCCGTTGTCCCCAACGCAATTAGAAGCTGGAATGCCGCCCCTCCACAATGTGCCGCGTTGTCTTTGTTCAGAAGAGATGCAGAGAAGCACAGGGTTCAATCAGCTCTGCAATCAGCTAACCGAGGTACCTAGCGTATGGAGAACGAGAGCGAGCCAGAATCAGCTGCTCCACATGTTGATCGACAATGGATCTGCGCGCAAGCGCAGGTGCGTTACGCATGGTGCAGCTAGCAAATGGACTTCAGCATGGACTATCTATGGCGCTCATGGGTTGAAACAACATGAAAATGAGCAGATACAAATTCGCACCGTCCGATAGAAACTGTAAAGTCAAAATGGACGTACTAGAGGGCAGCACAGTGTGCAAGACTGGGCAGGTCAGCAAGTGAAGTCAAAGTCCAAAGAGTTCTCTGGCTATAAATAGCACGGCCAGCTAGGGTTCGCATGCAGAGCTCGCCACTGCATTCAAATTGCCTTCCTTAAATTGTATTCCAACGAGATTGGACGCATTCATAACGTTGTTGCAGCATTGTTGCGGACGTCTTTCTCTTTCCAGTGTTTCATAGGTGGACGTGTAGTGGTCGTGAAATGGTCGCATCAATTGGAGTAGAGCGGCCCCAGAGCCTCCTAAAGCTGCAATTTTATAATACCATGCCGAGCTTTGGACTCATGCAGACGCTGTAAGGCAGCGAATGGGGACAGGCTGCGGACCTCAGCTCCAGGTTCTGCTGAACAGTGCAAGTCAGAATATCGGTGCTAGCTTGAGCAAAGGTTCTTCAGTTGCACGATGTGAATGCTGATGTAAAGCTGCCAGCATTTTCAATTCTTGGGCCAATAACAACTCGAAGCAGTGGCATCAAAGACAAGATGGCAAGGGCTGCTGAAAATGACGATGACTTGTCCATGTTGATGCCAAAGAGCGTTCAAGGCTTGAAGCCCTCTGAGAGTGCTGAGAGTGAGTCGCAGGCATTGAGGGAGTATCTAGACCTGCAGGTAAGAGAGCTTCCTACTTCCTCTGCTACTTTGATCTACCTTCCCGGTTGTAACAGTGTTCTCATAAAACAGCTAGTAACAATATCTTGTAAGTGAGACAACAAGTTGTCGCAGTATCCATCAGTCATTTGCAGCATTCACCAGATGAGAAGCATTGTCTGTCATGTGGACTTTCCTGATACATTCTCCAAGCTCACTCCTGTTATGCTGCTTCATCGTCGTTCTCTTGCTCTCTGAAATGATTAACCAGTGCCAAGAGCCAATTCAATGATGTTGTCAGCATTTTCCAATTTAATGGCTTGACTCCCTTGATAGACGAAAAGGAAGCTAAGCTTCCAACGCCCTATGTGTGGTGACCCTAAGCTAGTAATAATCACGAGCTTCCACAATGTCAGCAATGACTCATCTGCATCAAACTCTTGCCAATTCCTTTCAGTTGCACGTTGCTCTCAATACACTCTTTATGTATCATTCATTGAACTACCTTGATCAGAGCCTGGTTTGAGGAAGCAGTTAGCCTGTCTGCAACCAAGTTTACCCCTTTGGTCAAGACTGTCCTGCAGGGTTAAGAGAGGATAGACAACTCCAATTTGACCTCGCAAAGCATGCAGCTCATGTTGCACAGTGTAAGAGCCAAAGATGCCAGTTCCTCCTTTGACAGCTGGTGATTTCTCTCTCTGCAGAACGAGAAGGTGCAGCAGAATGAGCTTGCCGCTGCTGTCCCCCATGAGGTGTTCCTCCCTGCTTACAACAGAAGGCGCGACAGGCCTCCAAACCAGTGGAATGAAAGCAGAGGTCTTCTACCTGCTTCGCCTCTTAAGTTCACTGGCAGGTGAGATAGACTAGTGAATACTATTCGTCAATAATTTTGTAGGAATCGGTTCCACAGACATGTCAACAGATCTGCTGACTGCTTTCTTTCACTGCAAGGTTTCATTTGCTCGATCTCCTGACTTGAGTTACCAGCTATCTGTGTTGACGTATCTGGACCAGCCACCCTATCAGAGGCACAATAAACTGAGGTGCCATGTATGGTGTGCAGGAAAGCAGCTGCTGATCCCTTCTACAAAAAGGCCGGTGAAAAGATTGAAGGCGCCTGGGATGCTACATCTGGTCAGAACACGCCCAAACGGAACGGTAAGAACCGCCAGCTTCAAGTTGCTGGGATGCTCTCGCTTTCCATATAGTTCAGCGTCCAGCACTCACTCTGCCGGATTGTGAGAAAGGTTCTAGTTTTTTGGGTCTCTAATTCCTTTCAGAAAGATGCATCCTACTTGAACCGCGCAACCTTAGTCAGGTGCTTCAAGGAATAATAAATCGAAGGTGTTCTCCGTATGGAACATTTTATCATACCACCTTGAACATCGTGTCAAACTTGTTACATAAATACCAGAACCATACATTCATCTTTCAACTTGTCTACGACCAAGCAATCTTGCAACTCCACTCCTTTTTCTTGGCAGCTTTTCAACTTGTCACCGACGAGAACGCGCCCCCCTTGGAGCTCCTTCCCACTGCCTCCAAGCAGCGCAAAACGGAGCGCGAGGAGCGTAAGCAGAAGGGGAAGGCGCGTGGCTTTAACAAGCGACCCTTTGGCCTGGACCTGAAGCAGCACCCCAGGAAGGAGCACACAATCGAGAGCGAGTCTGATTGGAAGAAGCTGGAAGGACAGCTGGCGACGGTGCACACGGAGCGGCGACAGGCAAAGCTTGTTGACGGGCAAAGCAAAGGAGGAGAGGTGCCGGCTCGAAGGAGGGGCTGGGTCGCAGCACGACGTAAGAGCCTGCTACAGAGCAAGTCAGAAGCAGAGCTGAAGTCTCCGGGTCTTGTAAAGGGACAAGAAGACAAAGATGGTGGATTGCATCCAAGTGATGAAAAGCTGGAAGATGAGGAGAATTCAGGAAGCAGGGGCAACGGAGACCTTCCCGGGGCGCTGGCTACAGAGTTAGTCAGGCGGGCAAGAAAGCCGGCGGCTGGGATCAACGGGCTTTTCTGGCCGCGGTCATCTTTGCAGCAAGAGGGTCAGGAGACCAGACGTCCGGTGCAAAGCAGTGAGGGGACGATGATGGACGCGGGTTTGGACATGGAGATTGACGAGTCGGACGAAGAAGTGGAGGGGCCGCTGAAAAGAGCGGAGGAGATCGCGGGTGGCCCACAAGGTAACAGCTCTGAGTATGTGTGACCCTTTCGATTTCGGTGTCAGATGTAGAGACTTGTGTTGAGTCCTGGGTTGAAAGACAAGATCTGGAGGTCGTATCCGTGTGTACTAAAGCTTGAGCTTTGATTTGAGTGTTCGATCTCTTCCATTCCAGTAAAGAGGTACTTCCATGGATTATTCGTTAATTCTGTACCATCCCGATTGAGACAAGTCGAGTCTGTTCATTGCGCTTGGATTTAAAGCGGTGCAGGGAAACGGAAAGCAGCGGCATCATACGCAAGCACTTAAATCTCCATTTTGAAAACAGGATGATTCACCTTCCCTTCTCTGCAGATGATGCACAATGGACTTTCAACCCTCTCTTCGGCGGTCCAGATGCCACGGAGCATTTGCCGCAAGTCAAGCCCCCGCCTCCCAACACAACGGCCGAGATCGAAGCACCCGAAACCGCCTCGCCTTTGCCAGTGAACTCAACCGAAGCTCAGCCCCCAAATACTCCCCAAACCTTCCCTCCTGATAAAAGCAACTTCCCCAAGGAAGTCGAACGAGCTCGCATAGTCTCTCCTCTAGTATCTCAGGCAGCGTCGAATCTGGTGTCACCAAGCCAGGGGGTCAGGAAGTCGCCCAGTCTTGACACCGACGGCGAAGAAGCTCAGGCAGCGGCGGCCCTTGCAGAGATGGATCTGGGTGGGGGGTTTGGAATTGCAGCGGCAGCAGCCCCCCAGGAAGAAGAGATAGATTTTCCAGCGTTGGAAGGATCGCCGCCTCCGGTCGCCCCGGTGGAGACTTCCGAGGGCGAGGAGAATAACAGCCAGGTAAGGACCTTGCTTTAGCAGGCGCAAGACTTAATCCAGGGAAGCAATGTGATACTGATGTATGCCTGCTTGAAATTCATCAAGCGGCGGTCGGTTTTGGTTGTCGTTCGCTGGTGTAAACCAATGGATGCACGTTTTAACGTCCAAACAAAATAGAGCCGCTTCTAATGCCCGGCTATAAAATTCAAATCTGCCCCTTCTCCCAGCCGTAAAACTGTTCAGGCCTTTACTCCCCGACTTGTCAGATGGCGGAGCTCAAACTAGGCTTGCATATTTGTGCGCAGAATCCGTTCGGGTTGGCAGTCGCTGAAAGGAGCATAGTCCCACAAGCAGAGGAGCTCCAACCACAGCAGACTGGTCGAGGAAAGAAGAACAAGAGACTGATGCTGTTACACGGACGGACGAGCCTAGCGGGTGAGAACTGAGGCCCTGGCGCATCCATTGAGCTTGCGGAAGCATTAACACTTGGCGCCCTCAACGGAAGCTGGGTTGATGTCCACGTATGTTGCCTTAAGTATTCGCAACCTGACCAACGGGGTTAGTCTGCGAAAGCTTTGCCATCGCTTTCTTGGTTGGCTGGACGCAAGCTCGCATGCTTTGCATCGCGAAGATTTTTTTGCGACACGTCAGGCGCCCGCCCGTGTTTGCTTTCTTTATCGCTGCGGTTCGAAAGAGGTTTCCATCTTATGAACAGCAAAGCTCCGCCTTGTCTACTGGTATGTGCAGATCTGTACATGGTTCCGCTGGCAGGATGAGACTTTTCACGAAAAGCCTTGGAATACACCTCGACACACACCTTGGCATACCGTTTTTGCCCCGTTAAAAAGTTTTCAGGTTTTGCAATGAAAGTCAACTGAACTGCAGATGCTGGCCTGCGGACAGAGCATGGTGTTCGCAGAACGACCAGGGCGCGCATCCGGCCGCTCGAGTTTTGGAGGAACGAGACAGTCGTCTATGAAAGATCTCACAACAGTAAGAGTTCTGCCGATCGCTTTGTCTACCGGGACTTGTTGGTTCAGTTCGTTATGAGACGTCCTTCCGTGTAGGCCAGGAGCTGGTGCCGGTGTCATCATTTGATTCTCCGTTGCTTCACAGATATCAGCCGAGAGAACAGTCTGAAGCATATTTTCTGCGATGCAAATTCGCAGATTTCGAAGACGTTGTCAGGCTGGTCTGGCTCATCAACGTTTTGTCTGCAGGTTTACCCACGATCGCGCGTGTCGTCACACTGTCTCCTGACCCTTTGTGGCCACGACCAGAGGGTCGCGAAGCCTTTCGCCTGCAGCGGAAGAAGCTAAAAGAGCTCGGTCAAGCGGAAGAAGTTTTAACTTTGTCAATGTCGTAATATTTTCGTGGCACGCTACATGCTACAAGCTAGCTTAGATACAAGGAGCAGAGGACGCCTTCTCAAGATCTGTAGCTGCCAATCGCGGTGCCAGTGTATACTAGTTAATCGGTGCAGATCAAACGAGGTCCCACGTGAAGTCGCCTGCTTACAAGCTTCCCATGATCTGAGGCTGGTCGTCTTGTGTCATACGGAGACACGCCAAGGGCTGACCGAGAAAGATGATAATTGGCTGCTATGGAAGTAAAGGACGGTGGAGTACAAATGCCGAGCCTCGGTTGGTTACTGTATAGTGTACAGCAATAACAGATCGTCCCAAATACAGATGTCTAATTCTTCATAACGACCTTAGGCTGATTTACCAGTGCAAACTGTTATTGTTAAAGCAGATTCAACAAATGCTGATCATTGCCAGGTATCAACAACTCAACGTACATGCTGGGCTACACGGATGTTAACAAGCTTCCAATTGTGGGACTATTGTGCATTAATTCATGCTCTTAGCATGTCAGTGTCCATGCAACCGCGCGAATGGTTTCGATCCCTGCAAATGGACTTGTGCCCCCGAAGAAACCTAAGTACTTTGCATTTCCATTTCAGTTCAGTTCGATTTCGGAACCCATGAACCTAAATATGTCATTCAGAAACCTAAATATATGATTCAAGATCGTCCCTGCCATCTGGGATGTCTCAGTTGGCTGTGGCTGCCTTCCTTTTGGTCACTTTGAAAGCACTCGATCAAATGAATGCACTGCCTTTGTTTGAATGGCAGTTGGTTCACTGAAGCAAACAGGCTTGCCCAGGGATGACACGTTACATGCGGCACCCATGATTAAATTGGTACATGGCAAGGCAGGGATTGCAGCAATACTTAGAGGAAGTACACCTAGACATACTCAGGCGCTATTGATTGGACAATTAACTACCACAAAATGTGCCATGTGAATCAACCAAAAACCAGACCCAGCAACCTTTGTCAATGAAATGACCATTAAGTGGCTAACATGATGTGGCCAAAACAGGCACATTTCCCAAATGTTCAAGAAGTCGTGAGATTTTTCCAAACCTTTACATGTTGCATAGGACACAAACCTATACATATCACATTTTTCAACCTTATTTGCAGCCTGTGCACCCCTAATTCACTACTTTATGTACAGATATGCTGCCGTTAAATCAACTTCATTGTCCTTCTGCTTCCTGCCTAGCTCTAAAATGGGTGGCAAACCCTAAAGGCTGAAACCCTATGAACACCCCCGCACATTTGCTACACACAGTGGCTGCAAAGAATGTCGTGAAGCTGCCCTAAGCCTGTACATGGACACTCGTGCTCTGTACAAACGCTTTGTACACTCTGACGTATCAGCTGGCAGCAACCATCCGGCAATTACCTAGCCTGCTTTCAAAGACGCTTGAGCAGTGCGCCAACACTGGTCTGGCGCCCACATTCATGCCTTCCGCCACCCCGTCGAAGATGCAGAACTGTGACCTCAGCACGTGGTGGATGCACCTCGTGAGCGAGATCCAGCACAAGCTCCTATAGTACAGACTGCACAGAGCATCCAGGCTCCGCTGCTTCATCCGCCCTCCAGTCTGCCACTGTCCCGCTAACCTTGACCAATCTATGCTCTCATCGCCGTCCCCAGGACCCCAGCTCTCGTCTCCCGCCTTGCCGCCGCCTCTGTCTCCACGTCCGCCCCAATTCCCTCCTCCCCACTTGCCTCCAGAGCGCCCCCCTGAGCCACCTGAGCCCCCAAAACTGCCGCCACTTCCACCACTCCAAAACACGCCCCCGTCGCCACCCCCTGGCAGCTGCTCATCATACCCTGGGTCGTCGTCGCCGTCCCCTCCGGTCACTTTCCGCGTTCCCGCTCTTCTCCTGCTCTTTGTGATTGTCGGAGCGCTTCTCGGCCGGTAGTAATGCGTGCCGCGTCTGGTTGGAGGCGGAGCAGTTACATCCTGAGGAGACTGGTAGAAGGAGTCTATGGACTGCCTGGGCGGAGATCCCGAAATCTCAGGCGCAGTCCCTGAGGCCTTGCCGGGGATAGAGATTGCACAACTGCGCAGGGCCTCACTAACAGCGTTTGCTACATGAGCAGAGCTGACAAGGCCCTGAGTGGACTGCACGCTTGTAGATACTTGCAGGGTTGTGACATCCATCTTAAGGTGACTACGCCGCTACAGAGGAAGGTGCAAACAACCGGAAAGAAAAGAAAAAGCTATCCTTTCACCCCCCTGTCAACAGTAGATAAAACGAGCCTGAGGCAGGCAACGGCTGGGGACTTTTGCTTGAAAACCTGCAGGGCGCAACCCCCTGCCAGGCGCCCTCCCGACTTGCTTTCCTCCTGCTCGTACCGCCTCCTGCTTTTGAAATTTGACAGTTTTGCTCCTGCCGCCTGCGCTGCACAAGCAGAGTCCGAGCACTGAGCAGACCAGGCACGTACCTGGACGGTTGCATTGGAGGCATTCCCCGTGCACATCAAATACGCTACCGGTCCAAAAAGGCCCACATTTGCCTGCTTTTAATTGCCCGGGAAAGGGCTCCTGGGTGTTGCTTGCCGCCAACAAGTTCATGACGTGGTAAGCTGCAAACCTATTGGTCCACGAACAACGGACTTGATATTTAAGAATGGGCACACCTTCTCGCGCAGGGGGGTCCAGGCGCCCAGCGTTTTAGGACCCCGGCCTTTCTTTCAGGATCTGGTCCACTGCGCGCGGATACGCGAGCACAAGTTTCTGTTGCGGGCATGCTTCTATCCTTCGCCGAAGTACCCGCCGGGGATGGGAGGTCTACCTATATTGTTGATTTTAGCTTTCAGGCTTCAGGTTTCAGGGTACTTGGAAGGATCGAGCCAGAGTGTAGTGCTGCCTATTCCCTGGGGCACCTAGTTTGTGGTTAGTGGGCTCAGGACTGGGTTTGATTTGCAACTAACCAGCCGAGGCGCAGTCTCCGTGCTTGTGACATCAGCACCCGGATGCGCGTTGAGGACGTCAGCGACCGCCTGGTTCGCGCGCCAAGTGCCTTTCCGGAGGCTTTTGAGTGGCCGCAGCCGTTCATGTGAATCACGTGGTAAGCTTTCGAAGCCACGTACACGGCGGCCTTCCAGTTGTGCAATCATCATACAATCACAGTCCAGATTCGCTGGCACAAGCAGAAGTCAGCCTTCCTTGTGAGCGCTGAATACCGTAGTGGCACCGTGCACGGACAATTCGCGCCAGGCTCTTACGAAAATTATATTTTTTCCATTTCTTGATATCGCACCATGGTTTTAAGGAATATTATCTTTTCGCACTAGCCAGAATTAACAGTGTTTTAGGCCTGTTTTTACGTGTTTTCAGGCTTCCGTTGATTTATTTTGTTTTCGCACTTTCGCACCAAGGTCAAAATAATTTCCGGAAATTTTCGCACTAAGCCCTGAATAATTATTTTTGGTGCGAATTGTCCGTGCCACTACGGTAGTATGATGTAGCGGATCTGATGAGATGGGAGCATTTAATATGGCGGGGGTATGGCAGCAGACTCTGCATTCTTGACCTGAGAACTCTGAAGCCCGCCGTGCAGGAACTCGTCTTCTCAACCCAGCATTTCTCATGCAAGAAGCTCGCTTGCTCTTTCCTGTTGTATGTAGCCTCTGTTCGCTGGGAGCAAGGGGTTTTGCTCTTAGCATTTTAAGGTGCCTGAGTTAGGCTTTCGGTCAAGTTGTGAGCTGCTCTCAGATCTTGAGGAAGTTATACACTTTTTTTTTGTGAGGTTGCTGAGTTGAAGCTGCATGTTGGTTGCATCCCCTTGCTTCCAGTTGCTCGTTCCGCAGGAGGCTTCAGGGCAACCGCTTTTCAAGTATATTTAGAAGAAGTTCAGTCGGCAATATGGAGGGATGCTTGCGAGGAGCTCGGCCTTGTTTCTCTGAGCCCGACGTCCAATCCTGATAGCAGTGGATTCTGGAGCTGAACTGCGCCCATCTGTAACCCCTCACTCTTTCTTAGATTCCCTAGTTGCGGGGTACAATGCTGCGCATCCTGAAAAAGGGCCTGGGCAAGGCAACGAAGCGGGACCCCCTCTCCGAGAAGGACCCCAAGAAGCAAGGGTCTAAAAAGCCTGCAAATGACGCGGCTGCAGACGAGATCTCGGCTCCAGGGCCATGGATGCAAGCAATGCGTGGCCCCCTCAGTGTGGATGAGCGACAAAGGCTGCTAGCAGAGCACAAGAAGGACATTGCGCTGGTGGATATTTTGAGCAGGATTGTGGACAGTGGTGCAGTGACGTCGGCGGCGATTCACACGCAGCAGGGCAAGAAGGGGCGGAATCAGGATGCAATGATCGTGTGGGAGGTACGGGTTTCGCTGCTGCATGTCACAATGCTGTGGCTTCTGCCAAAGATTTTGTACCGCCCCGGTCTTGAGATGCACTTTCCTCTCTCCTTACGCTTGTCCTTTTGTCCCTGTCTAAATTTTGTCTCAGGGCTTCGCAGTTCCTTGCGTTTGGCAACCAGGCAAAACCTTCTTTCTTCTTGTTGGCTAATCTGCTGGTTGAAATGGTGGTTATAAACTTGACTCCTTGGCAGCATCAGACTCAAGATGCCATCTTTCAGGATGTGACAAGGTTTTTGATTGCAACCATCATTCACCGCCCTTGCTGCCATTTGTGTCCTTGCATCTATCCACTGAAAGCTTGCGAGGCTTTCTGAACTCTTTCAGCAAGCATAATGCTCTGTAAGTCCTGTGAATGGTTCTCGACGCGCCCTGAGAACTTTCAGAAATTTTCAAGCTCAAGTTCAGTTTTTATCTCCACTCCTTATTCTGTCAGAACACATTTGCAATTTCCAGTGGCAGAAGCTGTGCTAGTCATTAGGCCTTCACGCTACATCACTCTGTAAAAGATTTTCTGCTTGTGTTGGTGTAGGATAAGTTATCAGTTTCAATTAAAGGTGCAACCGGTTGAGATGCCGCACTTTCAGCCTCAATGCTGAGACCTCTTTGCTTGTCCGTGCATCATGCAAGAAAGCTGCAGCAGGTGAACTTGCGCTATGTCTATTGCCAAACAAAAGTAGTGGCTTGGGGGACGAAGTAGAAGCTTTGCGCAGTTAGAGAGACCTGTATTGTCTCTCGCCCTGTGTTGAAGAGCAGGGAGTTGGGGGGTGTTCAAAGATTCATGGAGACGTTTGACTTTCATTTTCGGAACGCCATTCTCCTACTGAGGTGGTGGAGGGGAGAGGATTTACGCAATGTCCTAGCATTGTGCACGGTCATGAAGTGAAACCCTAATATGTCCTAACCTTAAAACACTCCCTCCAGAAGTCGTGAGCAGCCTGCTCTCTGCTCTCAAGGTTTCGAATTGTGCACCTTTCATGCTTACAACCTTGTTTCATGGCGTCACAGCCTCTCCTGAACTTTTTCGAAACTCTAATCCTTGTCTCAAGAGACGTGCCGCCAAACATCAATGGCAGTGTTCTTCAATTGGCAGGAAAGCAACGTTTCGGTGACTGTTCGCTTCCGGCGAGTCACCTCGCATGCAATTCTTCTTGCATCCAACCTCCCTTCACGCACATCCTTTCTGTCAAGGACCTTGTCGACTGAAGACTCCCGTGCGTCCATCTTCACTTCTGCTGCCTTTTCTGCCTTATGACGCAACTCAACCGGCCCTTCCATTTCTGCTGTGGCAGGAGTTTCTCAACCAGGAGCACACCACTTTCGCCGGCGTCTTTGACGGTCACGGCCCCTTTGGCCACCTCGTCGCAAAGCGCGTGCGCGACACTCTCCCCTCCCTCCTCTCCGACTACCTAGTCACAATCCTAGACAAGGGGGACAAAGAGAATTCCCCGCTCCCCCCCGAAGAGCTTGAGCCGCTCGAGCTGACGCACCTGAAGGGCGCGTTCAAGGGCGCGTTCCTGGAGATGGACTCCGAGCTACGGAACCATCCGACGATCGACTCCTTCTGCAGCGGAACCACGGCCATCTGCGCCTTGCGGCATGTGAGCACGTCTCTGTAACATCTTATTGCTTGTGAAAGTATCCATTCGTCATATGCACGTCTCTCTTTGTCATGATTGACATGCGCTGTGGGGCTGTGTGAGGCCGTTGCTCCTTCTTTGGATTTGCTGTATGTCATGTGTTCCTGCTCTTTGTCGTATCTTTATCTCAACCGGTCTTATATGTTGTATTGTCTTATATGTTATATGGTGCTCTAGGAGTGAAAGTTGCAGGGCGGAGTCTAGAAACTTAAGTATTAAATTGTGAAAAGCACGGAAAAGCTGTGGTGTAAACTTTTAAGGATATCAGGAACCTCAGCCGGTATGATCAGCCTTTGGCTGTGCTGATTGACTGTGGCAAGTAATCCGCCAGGAGAGTCCGGGAGGCGGTATAGTGTATAGAGTTTCGGCGATTTGAGTGCTATGCTCATGTTGACTACGATGTCCGGAAGGTTCAAGCTTAGCAAACTGCACAGGGGGTTGCTCTTCCTGACATCTAGATTGCATCGCAGCAACGTATGGAATACAGAAATGCAGTTTTGGGAGTACACTTGCCTTCACCTCCCTGTTGCAAGGTTCATTTGAAGTATTTCTCACCTGAATCTGGATCCGTCAACATTCAGGAGTCAGTCACGCACCCGTGCGTATTCTATCTCACTTGCTCACTTATGCTCACTTATGCGGTGCAGCACAATCACCTGTTTGTCTCCAACCTGGGCGATTCGCGGCTAATCTTGGGCAGCCAAGGGCCTGACGGGAAGATTATTGCGACGCAGCTGTCAGTGGATCTGAAACCCGACCTACCAGGTTAGTTGGAAGTAATCCATTTCTCGTGAGAATAAGGAAACCAACTTCGAAGAATAAGCCATCTAAACCAGGTTATGCGGGATTGGGTTCTGGTTATACTCTCACGGGAGCAGGCACAGCAGGCTCGGCATATTGACGGTGATACGTAAAGGGCCAAGAGTCGGTTTTGTGTTAGATTGCACAAACTTTGAAAAGCTTGCTTTGAAGGTGAGCTTCTCTTTTCGTGTATCTCGGTTCCCACTTGGCTGGCCCGTTGGGTCCAAAGATCACACAGCTTATTCGTGGCAACCTGTTTACTTTGCGCTTGGGGAAGTTTCGTCCGAGACTCCATGAAGCGAAGAAGATGATTTATTTGGCAATCTTCTGCGCATGGCCTCATGACGCGGCTCAGGGCTCGCATGTTTCTCACAATGACGGGAATTGCGCCCTGATGCGTTAGGACGAGGACTATTGCTGACGCTGCTACTGGCCCGCCCCTGGAGAGGCAACATGAGCAGAAGCTGCCCCTCTTGTGACCGTTCCAGGTTTTCCTTTGAACTTTCACAGGGCGCTTCCCGATGTATATTTCGAATGCCATTGTTCAATCGACCACAGTAATTCCGCCATCCCTAACGACGCCGATTCGCGTCAGCGCCTACGGCTTTGCAGGATTACTTCCACGTCTGATGGACCAGCGTACTGTCTCCAGGCTTGTCGGCTGCGCCTTTCCTGAAGACTTCCTCTTGACCGAGCGCATCCAGAACTTGCCCGCCACTAACTTCTTAAATTCCCTTTTTGCTGCCCACTCAATATTCATCTTTTCGTCTTATTCAGACGAGAAACGTCGAATCCGCGCATCCAAGGGCCGCGTCTTTGCGCTTCCGGACGAGCCTGACGTGACACGTGTCTGGCTGCCGCACGAGGACACTCCGGGGCTCGCCATGGCACGTGCCTTCGGCGACCTGTGCCTCAAGGACTACGGCATCATCTCGGCGCCTGACGTCACGCACTATAAGCTGACGGACCAGGACAAGTTCATAGTTCTGGCGTCCGACGGGGTGAGCGCTCATTGGTTCAGATGGTTTTCGGCGGTCGAGTCGGTTGGCTTCCTTCTTCTTTCATTTGTGTGACCGAAGTTCCGGGCGGGGTGTTAGAGTTTGCTTTACTTCAGACCTGGGCACTGAGATTGGAAAACCCGTATTTCAGATTTTCGAAGTCCTCGAGGCAACCTGGTTGGGAGCACCATTTTTTGCGAGCGCCATAGGCCACAGGTGGCCTCCTCAACACTTCTCCAATTCATTAGACGGATTTCGCGAACAGCGCATTCGCCGGAAAAAATCGGTTCCCAAAGGTTCCTCGATAAGAAGCAAGGGAAGCGCATCACTCGCACATGAGATTGTGGTGTGGCTGACCGCAGGCCGACACTTTCTGTTCGTCACAGTCTTCCTAACCAATCCATATTACGGATGCTCTGGCTGTGCCTTACCTTCCTCCTCTCCTCCTCTGATCACATTCAAAATCTGATAGCGTCGGGCTGGTCTTCTGCTTTGGGACTTGCTGGAAAACCAGCACCTGCTCGTCAAGTCAATTTTCACGGGCCTTTGTATCCTCCAAAGGTCCGTTGCGGTTGTTTCTCGTTTGATAGTCGGGCTGCTCCCTGCCAGGTAAGGGACGTGTTGGAGAACCAGGAGGTGGTCCTTGTCAGTAGTGAAGACTTCTTGTATCTTGTTCACAGCTGAATGCTTGCAGAGGCTTACGTCTTGTTCGAAGTCAATGCCGCCCCCCCCTGCCAGGTGTGGGACGCGCTGGAGAACCAGAGGAGGTCCTTGTTAGCACCACAGATTCTTGTTGTGCTGTCTATGAGGAAATGCCTGCAAACGCTAAGCCCTTGTTCAAAATCGATCCCCCCCGGTGCCAGGTGTGAAACATGTTGGAGAACAGGAGGGGGGCCTTGTTAGCACCACAGATTTCTTCCGTGCTGTCCATAAGTAAATGTAAACGTTCAAACCTTGTTCACATCGATCCCCCCCGGTGCCAGGTGTGGGACGTGTTGGAGAACCAGGAGGTGATACAGCTGGTCGCCTCGCTGGCCGCCCGCAAGGACGCCGCCAACCGCGTCATCCAGACCGCGGTGCGCACCTGGCGGGAAAAGTACCCGTTCTCCAAGACCGACGACTGCGCGTGCGTGGTCCTCTTCTTGGACGGGGGCATCGATGTCGAGGGCCCGCTCGTAAAAGTCGCAGCGGCGCAAGCAAAGCTGGGGGCGCCCAGCGCGCAAGCGAAGGTTGGGGCGCCCAACACGCAAGCAAAGGTGGGGTCACCTAACGGGGTGGGGGAACGTGGGCCGTCGTTAGCGGAAATGGGCCTGCTGGGGAAGAAGGCGGAAAAGGGGGAGAAGGGGGAGAAAGTTGGGGGAGAAAAGTCACCCCCGAAGGAGTTGCCGGAGGAGAGTTTGATAGCGCGGGCGGACAGCGTTGTGAATCTGTCGGCGGTGGTGCGGGCGATGGATGACGAAGCCCCTGCGGACGAGGACGGCGGGAGCGCTCTCGTGGCGCGGGCCGACTCGGTCACCACTATCACTAGGAAATTGTGATAGAGGTGACGAAGTTGTGAGGGGCGGAAAGCGGATTGTTCGCTGCAATCAAGCCATGATTGCCCAGTGAGCGCACTCGAGAGGCAACGCAGGTCCAAGCGGGCGCTTCGCATCAATAAACGTTGCAAATGCAGATTTATGTTCGACCAGAGTTGTGGCAGAACGTCAGTTGTAAATTTACACGCGTTGCTTCAAGACAAATATGTTAAGTACGGTACAGGTCTGCTAGGTTCGTCGGATTTACAAGTGACTCCAGTCTTTTGACGTTCATACAAACTCAAGCTTTACAAGGAAGAGACACGTATACTTGATGCAACTCACTAGCCGCGCGTCTCAGTCTCACACTGTGACAACCCTGCACGGTTTCTTGACGCGCATGCATTGTTACAGTACGTTATGCATAAGAAAATAGGGAGCTAAGAGCTCGCTCCAACCGTCATATATGAATAAGCAGCTAGCCTGGTGAATCATACACGTGATGGGGTCGCCGCGCGTATACTTAATGTGTAAGGCCGTCTAATTGACTCTTGAACTTAGACATATGCGTATGCGTGCTATACGCTCGCGCATGAACAGGCCCGCTCAGCTATAGCTCCGACATGTTGCAGTGCACATGTTGGGCTCATGTACACGAGGCCGTCTCGATCAGCAATGATCACGACTCAGATCCTATATGCCATGTGTTGCGGCGGTATGTAGGAGCGGTAGCCAATGCAATCTCAGGCTGTCGGAAGGTGTCCGACTCCGATTGAATCATACATGATGGTGCTGCTGCGCTTACGCGACCGCAGTCAGAAGCTTGATCGGCTCCAAAACGGATTAGTTTAAGACGGCTTGTCTCGAGCATCACGAATTGCGATCGAGAATCACGTCCGCCCCTCAGTCGCCTTGACACCTGCTCCGGTCATGCAATCGGACACTCAATATCGAGTCCGTTCCTCGTGAGCGACCGGACAAGTAGGAAGAGTGCCGACAACCAAAACCCCTGTACACCAATCAGGCAGTCTAGCACATCCCCCTCTGCAGGCGTTTCTCAATCTGGGCCTTGTTCGTGAGCATACCGATCAAGTAAGACCGGCACTAAGGAGACGGCTGCGAATACTACCGCTCCTGCACCAACGTATCGCATCGTTGCACTCTTCACAACACGTTGTTTGAACCTCTTCTTCTGCATAAAACCACGAGCACAAAAGTAAGTGCCAACATTCTCAATACGCAACTTCAGCTTCTACGCAAGCCTCTGCAGACTTTCGGCAGATGCAAATCACTAGCTGCCGCGTGCTTTTCCTGATCTGACAATCTCCCGCTGTGACAAAGCTAAATCACAAACTCCCACTCTGTCAAAGCATTTCCACAACAATCGCTTTGAAAAGAATCGCTCCTGACACCAGACGTACTCCGCCACTGCGCAGCTTACCCGTGCCTTACAAGCATGCCAGACTCAACGAACGCAACTTAGCACGAGACTGAAACAAACGGCGAGAGGACATGCGCTGAGGATCAGGCAGGACGTAACTTACCTCTTGCGTTGCCACGTACTCCGAAATGGCCCCACTCGGTATCGACAGCTTGCCAGAGACCGGGCCTTCTACATAGGAGACCCTGAACAAGGGGGAAAATGCTGTTCTCGGTAAGTGGATGCAGGTTCCAACAACTTTCTGACTTCTGTCCATTTCCAACTGTCGTCGCTCCCACTAAAAGCGTGCTCTAGCGACCCGCATAAGACGCTGTCGCGGTGTGCACCTAGATCCCTTAAAAGCTTCGCAAACGAAGGCCGCTTGCCTGACTTGATGTTCACGGCTTGTCAGCACAGAAAAGACAGCATCTTTCATTTACCCAAGCGCAACTTCGAGCAACGTTTTAGGAAGGCTGAGCTATAATGCTTCTCGCCAAAGCTTGATGATAGAGGAAAGCCACAGCAGAGGCAGTATTGCACAGGCTCGTCTGCCGACCAACCCGGGCTAAACGTAACCGCATGAGAAGGTACGACTAGAACGACCAGTATGACTATGACGGTAAGCTGCGTCAGGAAAGCTGACACCTGGAGCAAGCCACCTGAAAGAGTCCACTAAGAAACTTTCGCGGGCAGCAGGCACTTGTCTTAAGCATCGAAGATCCAACAAACATGTGGAATACGAGGAGAAGAAAGATCTATCACCGGGAACTTTCGGCTGCTAACCAGGTCAATCACCAGCCTTGAGTTTCAGATTACTGGGAAAATGACCGGTCTTTAACTTTGTTTAAAGGCCAGACTTCGATACTGGACACAAAACCACTTTTCAACCAGCCCATAACGATCCAGGATTAACGGCAAGCAATTTCTGTGTATAAGCGGAAACATCCGACAGTGAGAGCTTACCTAATGGAAGTAAGGAAATTCTTGACTACTCTCTGGAGCGCTGCCGGCCTGCATAAGAACTCATAATATTATTCGGCTTGCCGACTCCTCTCGACGCCCTTCCGAATTGCGTGATGCTCTCTGGGTTTAGGTATGAGAAGCTCAATATATGATAATGGGGCGGGTAGGGTTGGATTAGGGATTAGGGTGGGTTCGAAGCTGGTGATGACTCGGGTTAGGCTTTCGATATTGGCTTCGTTCTCAAAACACTTTGAGCCTACTATTGACTTTTTCAAGAAAATGAATCTCGTGCTTTGACCTTGACTGAAACTGAAATCTGGAGATCGTGACAATGCCCGTCGTTGAACGAAACAAACGAACTAGCTTCGTGGCACATGATACTTGGTTCAGGAACGACCGACCGTCCTAACTTAGAAACGAAGACTCGATCAATGGAAAATTGGTGGGAAACGAAGCACTCTGGGGGCAGACAATGAAAAGCAGCTTGGCAAAGCGGTCTGCCGGCTCCGCCTAGGAAGAAGCTAAAGTGCGCAGGTGAAAAGGCGACAGGAGCTTCGACCAACTTGAACGCGTTCAACATGCTTGCGAGATTTGAACCGTTCAGTTGCCACGTAGGGGGATCTTGTCCTAACCAGGAAAAAAAAAGGACTCTCAGGATGCACGGGGTAAGCTGCTGGTACAGGGGTTCAAGGCTGTATGTTTCACGACCCTTTGCTCCGTATAGAAAGATTCGAAATGATGCTTTCTTTAGCACAAGCAGACTCTGGCTCAAGAACGGAATTGACGAACCAGTCCAGACAGGAGGCGAGTCTCACCCGTTATTTTCTATGTGGATCGTCAGCCCAGGTTTCCGCTCCGCATCCTGTCGCGCGAGCGCCTCCAGCTTCGCGTAGACTTGTTGGCGAGTATTTTTAGCGGAATAACTTTGCAGGTCCAGAAGCCATTGGGACCCCCTCGGTGTCGGGTTTCTTCCCGTTGCTACCTTCTCGAGTCTCCGCCAAAACCCCTGACCTAGGCTCGAGTTCCCCACGCTGTGATCGAGAGCTTGGGCGTCCGTTTCTACGTGCCGAAAGGGCTCCCGCTCAACGTCCGTTTCATGGGGGTTCCTTAAGGAAGCGTTGTCCTGGAGGGGGGGTGTATCTGAGCTGGTGTCGGTTTCGCGGAAAGGTTCCAAAGGCTGGCGTGAGGAGCCGAGCTTTTGGGAGGCTCGCCGCTTAGCGCTTTTGGGCCTGGATGGTTCGAGTTTGGTGGAACTTAGCCATGCCTTCAGCGCTAAGCGAGTTGCGTCAACCCCTCCCTCCCCGGAATCTGCGAGCGGAACCCCAGCATCGGCGCCCTGTTTCTCTGGTATTGGAGCTGTGGGGACCTTCTGTTCAGATTCGCCTTCAACCCCTACTCTCGACTTTGAAACAATAGGGGGGCTAGAGCTCGCACACCCAGTCTCTGCTGGGGCTCTGACTCCCTTCCTGGCTTTGCCCAAACCCGGTTCTCGACCTGAAGAGCTTGCCTCCTCCCCGGACGTTCTGCGCTCTTTCAGATCCTTGGACTTTGCTGTCACTCCCGATCCATCTTCCCCGTTGCCTGGAGCCACTTCTCTATCTAAACCGCTTGCCTCTGTTCCAGACGCTCTGCGCTTTTTCGGTTCCTTCGACTTTGCATTTTCAGTAACTGGACGATCGCCCCGTTGGTGAGGCACATGCCCGCTGCCAGGCGCTGAGACCGCAGCAGACGCAATCATCTCGGAGAGCTCTTTGCAGATTGCTTGAGCTGCTGGATCCGAAAGAGTAGCAAACGGCCGCAGGGTTTCCTGGGTGACCCAGTTCGGCCGAACGCCTGCCGCTTTGAAAGCAGACCAAGCCTGAAGGGCCGCTTGCACGTCGCCCGCTTTGACACAGGCATGGAGCCAAGAGTTGTATGTATGGTAGAAAGCTGGGGAAGCGAGACAGATAAGGATGCTTAGGGCAAGACTTAAGAAGTTGCTGGCTAAAAAAGCCAGCTATATGGTCGCGGTGTTCACTTTTGCGCCTAGGGCAACTCATATCGGAAGGCAGCTAGGATATTATGTGGACAAGAAAGGGACAGGGGTCGATGCTTGTATGCAGGGAGTCAATCTGCAGGTGGAGAAACCTGTGGAAGAGCTGACTGTAACCTTACATTGACGCTCCTAGCTGCTCATGAAGTGGAAAGAAGGTTAAGATGCGTAAAGTTCAACAGCTGCATCATCAGCATTGTTTTCAGAAGGCAACGAGTGCAAAGGAAGACACTATTTCCTGCAGCAGTTCTGGCTGCACCAACCTCTGCTATACCCACGGGCTTTGCAAAGCATGGGCGACGTCGAGAACAGCACTGGTTGGGCTTGATTACTTCATTCGCTACATTAGACTGTTGCGTCTCCAAGCTCATCAGACTCTTCGACGTTGGATTGAAAGGCTTAGTGCTGAACGCTTGCCTTGTAATGCAGGCCCGAATCATCCAAAACATGCAACTCGAAGGTGGTGTGACCAGGAAGATGTGGCAGGGGGCACGACTAAGTTCAGGGAACCACTCCAAGGAGCTGAAGAATCTGAACTAGAGGAGTTTTCAAGCCATAGCTTTCGATTGAACTCACGTTTTAATGATGCAGCTGGGATTTCCACAAGCACAATGTTGGCAGCCTCGTCCGGACGACTGTTTGCAACAAGTATGCTGAAAGCTTCGTCTCGCTGCACACCTTCAGCAGCCATTCTGTCCAATACTCGCCGTGCCTCCGGCAAGTTCGCAGCGAAGATCCACGCCTTCATGATGGCATGAAAGTGAGCTTTTGTGGGGAGGATCTTGTCTTCTCTCATCTCACAAAGCAGCTTTTCAGCTTCGAGTGGCAGCTTAGCTTTCCAAGCAACTCTCAGGCATACTGCGTAGGTCAAAGGATCAGGTGGTATCCCATGCAATCGCATCCTGCCGACGATCTCCTGGCACGTTTGCCACTTGACACGCCCCGGTATGAACATAAGCCTCTCAATATCAAGCAGCACTTCATTGTAGAAACAGCGACTGTGTGGCCTCCCAGCTTGCTCGCGCTCACGCAGTGCTCTGTCTTTCAAATCCAGCTCAGCTCTCGCAGCAAAACTCTGAGGAGAGAGAGACCTCTTTTGCAAATCCATGGCTGCATCTCAGAGAAAGTGTGGAACACCCTACCCCTAGCTCAATGCTGACGCTGCTGCTGCATGTCCAAATGCTTGGAAGACCTCTTCTTGAAGGGCATGGTTGTCAATGCTGGCAACAGACGGCTCTGATCCTGCCCATGGGAAGCTTGCCGATTCGATTCTTCATAATGGCACCCAATGGCACCCGGATATCTTAACATATCTGGTGCAGGATTTGTCAAACTAGTATGTTAATTGCGCAGGCTCTGATGAAAACAAACCGAAAGTGATATTATTCAACCCATTCTTTGGAGCCGCTTTCTAAGCAGATTTGTCGTATTTTTAAGATATATTGCTTCGATTTAAAGAACTCGATGTTCAGCATTTCACATGGACCAAAAAATGAAGCATGAAGAAAGTCACTTGAGGAATTGGAAGGTTTAACTTTAAACAATGGAGGTGAATGGAGGGCATGCATTGCAATCTGCAGCGGTCGCAAGGCTCACTTCAAAGGAACGTTCAGATTGAATTTAGAAGAGATGCTTCCTGCAAGAATTGTAGTCACTGATTGCTTTCTGCGAAGGAGGTTGAAAGCTTGGCTTAACCTGCCATAGCGGTGGTGATTCCTTCTGCAGGATATCAAAGGCGCTCCTGCAATTGCCCCCTAAATCCCTTCGAATGTTCGGCATTTGCCGGTCATTCAATCATAAGTTGTATTAAAGATCAAAACTGCACCATGGTCACTGAGAGTGAGGATCAGATCCCTGAGGAGACCGAGGGCGGGGGAATTGACGAAATTCCTTTCCGCCAATTGGCCGACAAGACACTTCTGTCTCCAGTAAGGATTGCACCACCATGTCCCCCATTGAATGCTCAAAGACCGCTCTCCTCTAGGCCCCAATTGAGGTTGCCGCTGAAGACTGGGTGCAATTACGATCACATCATTGGTTCCTTCTATGTTGATGCATTGAGGCTTCCTTGCACTGTGCAGTGGGAAATTCCATTTATCGCATAGCGATTGATATGTTCAGAACTGGTATCACCATTTTAATCAAGGGCTTTCCTTACCCTTGCTGATGGTTCCTCTGGATCCTATGTCTCAGTAGTCTGGCTAGCCTAGAATTGCGGCTCGTTTGTAGTAGTTTCAGAGTCTGGCAACTCAACTACGGACTTTTCATCAATCACTCACGGAAAACTTGTTCGGCATCATGCACACCACCCTCATCAAGACAGCGCCAAAGGGCCATTCACATTCCAGAGCTGGTTTTGAAGGAAGTTTCATCAATCATGCACAATCATTAGGAACCATCAGAAAGTGTACACAACTCCAGCTCTGCATTTCTGTGTTATGCAATCTTCCCTGTCAAACCGGCTCCAATTCATTGCTGGTTGACCACGTGCGCTCTAGCTCTTGAGGTGCCAAGCTAAGGAAGGAGGCCACCGGCCCCTGGAACCTCACGTTCTGTGCATCTTCAGACCCGTGAAGACCTAACGTTTTCAGATGTTAACTAGTTAAACAACTTGACATGAGTCTTATCTTGCCCCACTCCCCAGGTGCTGATTGCGTCATGGAGCCCCACCATGGACTTGCTTGCGATGGCCACCGCCGATGGCCAGCTGATGGTACACCGGCTCAACTGGCAGAGGCTCTGGACTGTGACCCCAGGTGATACTTCCTTACTTTACTTACCTTAGTTCGTTCAAAGCAGCCCAAGCCTTCACTGTTTTTGCAGTTCCTGGTCCTTCTGCCTGGTTTAAGAAGTAGAGAAACTGGTCCTGTATGCCGATCTTGAAAAGCCCCAGCTTTGCCTCCAGCTGCCCTTGTTATTGGAACTTTTGATCGGAAGGAGCTCTTGCCCTTGAAGACGTTTCTTCTAAGGTTCCGCAGAAGACCTTTCGTAGCTTTCTGGTTTTGAAGCAGCCTCTTGCACCTTTGTGCCTTCTATTTCATTCTAGAAACATGCCAAGCTTCGTGAAAAGCTGATTTTGCTGATGAGGATTTGAGATGCTTTGCAGCCCATGCGGTGACCGCGCTTTGCTGGCAACCAAACGGGAAAGTTCTGGCGGCAGGACGGGAGGACGGCGGGGTTGTGCTGTATGACGTGGAGGTGAGATGAGCACCTGTGCAACCTTGTGTTCCTGGGGTTGTACCATGAGTGATTGGATTCGGCTGGCGTCACGTAAGAGTAAGTGCTTGAACACCTCACAACAGACGCGCGGTGATATTCTGTCCACATGTGAAGATATTCTGTGGGTCTCGAGTCACAGAGATCAACGACTTGCAATTTCGTATTTATCGGCTAGTAGGATTGATGCGACAACCTGCGTCAAGGGCCTTCTATGCGCCATTGCCACAGTAGCTGGTTGAAGTACAGCTTTCAAGGCGTCCGGTTGGGTGACTCCTAAAAGACCCTGACAAACATTACTTTACTTTACTCACAACCTTCGAAAATCAAGTCATCTTTGAGGTACGAACTGTTCTCTGTTGGTACAGACCGGCGAGGTGCATCGCCAGCTGGCGGAGCACAGCGCCGCCGTCACCTGCATGGAGTGGGTGGAGGAGGACGCTGAAGTGGGGGTGAGTTGCTCCTGCTTTTCTAGACCACTTTCCTCAAGAAGGTTTCTGCATATTGTCAGCGCGACGGCTGCTCGCTGACGTCATGCCTACAGTCTTGAGCGATCCGAGAATCCATGGACAGACTTAAACGACTGATGTTCTCTCATGTACGACCAGCCCTTGCCGTAAACCCGAAATGGCACTTCAAACGCTTCTGTTCGACCGGATGTACGATCTTTCAAAGCGGAAGGCTTCATGTTGAAACTTTTGTGGGCGACCTCTGCATTATAAAAACGCACGTGGTCGTTCTGGAAAGCTGAACAACTTCAATCCTTGTTATTAGTTTTCTCGTCCCGCCCTCAATTATCGCCCTCCGGCCCTTCTTCAGGCCTCCCCAGACAGCGTCTTCAGCTACACCGACCGCACCGCCCGCTTCTTCCCCCTCTGCCCCCCCCCTCCCCAAGGCCCCGAATCCACCCCCCTGGCCGCATTTGACGTCACTGCCAGCAGCGAGCCCGGCGCCGCCCCTGCTGACAAGGCCTCCGGCAGCCTTTCGTCAAGATTGAGCATCCTGAGTAGCGCCGACAGTCAGGGGCTGGTCTGCTTACAGGCTCTGGGGGCGTTCCTGATCGGGAAGGTGAACCTGAGGGAGGTCGAGTTTCAGGAGCCGATGGAACCGGGGAAGTTCACCGGGGTGCTGCCGCAAAAGATGCGCGACGCGGAGGTCGTCAAGGTGAGTGACGGAGGGTGGGGGTGTGAAGCTGCTTATCAGTAATATAAGGCGAAAAGTCAACCATTTGCTGGTCTGCGGCACATATGCTTCACTGACGTGCTTCCCCCTGTCAAAATGCTGACAATCTGGGCGTTCCGTGAGGGACGACTGGATGCGTATCTGAGGGGTCGCCTGTCGCTTATGTCAGCCCTAAAGCTAGAGCACGGGAGGGGATTGATTGTCATCTGGTCTCTCCTTATACTTTGATTGCTGGAACGAGGAAACATTTCATCCGCTGAAGCAGCTTCAGCATACTTGCTTTGCCCTCTGATCTTGTTGGTTGTAATTCATCCATCAGGCTCTCTCTCGTTAACCTCCGCTAAATGCAGATGGTGCCCGCACTTTCGTGCTTCAACCTAAGGGAATGAAATCAGTTCGACCTTTCAGCTTGTATATTTGAAACTCTCGAAGGAATTGTGAAAAAAGGCGGTAGGAGGGAGGCAACCGGCTCGACAGTCGGCAGAAGATATCCCAAACGTTGCGCGTGCGCTGAGCCGTTTTGTGAATGGAGTCCGCCTCTCTTTGAGCACTCGAACCATGCCCGGAAAATTGTTTTCTGGACCTGTCAACAGAAAGCAAGTTCAAAGGGGAAGATTAGCCGACCAGTCGGCCACACTCATATCCATTCCTGTGTCCTGCATGCAGACCAGCCTTTCTTCCGACCTTCGCCACCTGTCCATCGTCGCCCGGGGAACTTTCGGCGTTGTCCCGGTCACTCCTCCCGGGCGGCTCAAGTCTCGAAGCGCCCCTGCTCCGAAGCCGGTACAGGGCCCCCCGGGGCTGTATATGTTGTCGGTGGATGCGGGGCTGCTGGGGGATCGGAAGAACGAGCTGTTGCAGGTCGCCATCCAGGTGAGAAGTAGCGGTGTGTGCAGCCAATTCACCAATTGTGGACGTCTGCAAGTTACTCCGGTAATTCTCGTTTGTTTCAAGGGCCGATTGCTTTATGATACGCACCCGGGGGACGGTCGGGTTTAGTTTGGGGGTAAGGGTGGGTGCGGGTGCAAGCACGTAGTATCTTGGGTCAGGGGTTTTTAATGAAGTGCCCGGGGCTTGTGTATCCTGAAAGAGTTTCCTGTTGATGCAATCTCGACTTACCAGTATCTGCAAGTCGTCGTTTGGAAAGACTTCGGGAACTGTAGACCATGCGGTCCCCTCTTACGTTAAGGCGATGACTGCTCAGGGTCTCGTCGAGAATGTAGGATTGGGTTTGGATACTCGTAGTGTATTATAATAATGTTTTCTGCCTTCTGTTCCCCCCCAGTATCTTCACACTTTCATTCAATATCTCAGTCCACGTCCCTTTAGCTTTGCAACAACACGCATCTTTCTCTGGTCCCTGGCATCGCTGTTTCTGTCCGTGATATCAGACCCCACTCTGATCTACCGTCTCCACTCCTGCATCAGTTTTTAACTTCCATCCTCAGGCCTCGACGTGCGCCCGTCCTTGACGCCGTATCGAAGACGCTAAAACTCATATTGCAACGGCAAGATACCTATCCCCTTCGTCATCTGACTCTTACAACCGCTCCCCCGGTTGCCCCTTTCAGGCCTCCAGTATCACGACTCTCGTCGACACCGCGCAGCAAACCCTCGACGCCATGATCAAGCAGTGGGAAGGCGCGTACGGCGACTGGAAGAAGCGCATCGTCGAACTGATCCAGATTCTAAACAAGCAAGAACGGGAGGGGTTTGAAGCAAACCCCCGGGACGAGTTTCTGGCGCTGCTGTCGTGCGGGCTGGCAACGGCGGGGCTGCACCAGTTCCTGACGGGGGCGATGGGCGAGCAGGGGGTCAAGCGCCTCGCGAGGACCATGGACGTCGCGTGTGAGTCGTGGCTGACGTCACTCGTTTGCGCGCAACTGTCTGGTGCCGTGTGCTCCGCGTCTGTCATAGAATGATCCATCGGCCGTTAAGGGAATATGTATTGGGCGTCTGGTTTTTGTGTGCGCATTGGGTGGAGGAGAATGCAAGCAGCAAGATGGCGGGGAACACGGAGGTTGGTGTCTGGGTTTGCTCGACGTCCTTTTTATGAGGGCGCTCTTCGGGGCAGTTTTGGCTCCCGGGAATGTATTCCTGAGGCAAGTAAGGACCAGGGAGCGGCTTTCAGTCGTTAGGACGGAACAATCTATTCCGCCTAGAGTTACTGGTCCAGGTTTGCCTCTGCAGCACACAGTAACGGAACGTTAGGCGGGGCGCATAGTTTCCCAAGACGCTGGATTGACCACAAAACAGTGCTCTTGCCTTGCTGACGACGCTCTCGTGCCCCTCTCCCTGTTGCTGTTGTCTTCTTAGCGGCACCGTTGGGTTGATGGCTCAGGGCGGTTCTGCTCACCCCATTCAAAGCACATGCGCACGTTAAGTGCGTCCTTTCCCGCTCAGGTGCAAACATCCACGCACTTGCGGCCGAGACGCTTCAACCGGTCCTTGAAGTGCTGACGTTCCGGTTGGGCGAGCTGCGCGGCCTTGCCCGGTGGAAGGCCCGCCTGGGGCCCCTCGGTGTGAATGAGCTCGCGCTGAACGAGCCGCTCGAGTACGCGAAGCAGACCATGGTGCACACGGAGCGGCTGCTGCGGAAGACGGCGACCATGTGCGGGGAGGTGAGCGTATTCACATCTTTGCCAGGCTGTGATCTTTTGGTGCACGCGGAACGGCTCTTGCGAACGACGGAAAGCATGAGCGGGAGGGTGAGCGTATTTACATCTTTCCTAGGTGCTTTGTGCACACGGAGCGGCTGCTGCGGGAAATGGCGACCATGTGCGGGGAGGTGAGTGTATTTAGAATTGGAGCCCAAGTCTGACAACGGAGAAAACTGGTGATCGATGTGGCAAAGGCAGCAAACCTGATGGGAAGGCAACTCGTTCAGAATTGAATACGGCACAGATTCGCTGGTTCGCTTAGTGTCACGTAGCTTGCGCCAGCTTTACATTTGTAGCCACATAGTGCAGGTAGTGTCGCTTCTTTCACTGGCTACTACAAAAGTCAACCTTTGAGCATTTTCAAGAAAAATCAAAAAAGAGTGTAATCCTCGACAAACTCGTTCCGGAGTACCGCGTCCTCTTCACGCGGTTCCTCTGCCGCTCCCACAACCCGTTCGTATTGAGATCTTTCAGGAGATTGCTGTCTAAATGAACCCAGGATATCACTTGGTCCTTAAGGCCTGGCATCATCCCTTCCGCGTCTTCTTCGCTTGGCTCCTCGCCTGAGTCACGCTTTTCCGCATAACAACTCCACTCACTGCAATGCCACTCAATCATTCCAAGCAGTACCGCTCCTTTCAGTGGCTTCGTCCGACGACCGATTGATTTCGCATCATGTATGAAGGATTTCAACTCCCAACATACTCTTGTTGCATTATCGCGTCTTCTTCACGTGGCTCCTCCGCTGCATCAAGATGCCTAGACAATCTGGGCCTTTATAACGAGACCTCTTAGAAACTTATAAACGATTCTAAATTCGCTGAAGATTTCAACTTTCGACGGCCCACGAATTGGCAGTTTTTTCGGAACGCGCCCAGCATGTTTCTTACATCTGTTTCTTACATCCTTACGTCCTGGCATCCCTCCGCAGTACCGCGTCTTCTTCACGTGGCTCCTCCGCTGCATCAAGACGCTCAACCAGGAGCCCCTCCCCGCGCCCACTGCCAACGACGCCCTGCCCCCCGTCAGCACCGAAGCGGTCGCCGACTTTCTGCAGCCCAAGTTCGACTGGGACCCTTTGGCTGATCTGCTCAGCCGAAAAGACATGGACCCGTTACCGGCGATGGACGAGCAAGGAAAGGAGTTGATGCAAGGGTTGGCGGCCATGGGGGGTTTCCAGGATTACATGTTCCTGCACAACAGCTTGCGACAACAGCTGCAACGACTAAGGCACGGGTGAGATGGTTAGTCTTACTTGGCGTGTTTGAGTCTCTTTTGCTGGTGTAGTGCCTCAAAAGTTGCTTGTGAATTCTGGTCTTCAGTGACAGGTTTGTTGGTGTAGTGCCTGAGATTGGACGTAGACACCGGTTCTGGTTAGAAACAATGCGCTTCTAAATTCAAAGGTTCCAAGGTTTCGACCACCGGTAGTCAGAATTTGGCAGTGCCTTTGCAGAACGCGGTCGCAGAGGAGTTCCTCTGCTCAACCAGCTTGTTCACTTGTCCCGAGAACTCGCCTTCAGCTCGTGAGAAGGAAGCTTCACGGCGTAGCAATCCGTTTCATTCCACCGCGGCTCGAAACACCACATGAAGTAAGCTCTTCGCAGAGCGGCAACAGATTCAGAACAGCGCAAAGAAGACGAGATGATGTCAGAACTCTCGACGTTCCCGCACATCATCCCAACCCCCTCCTCGAAAATCTCCGGATCCTCTTCCTTTTCCGCAGGTGCGACGTCGCTCTATCCCTCCCGTGCAAGGTCACCTCGTCCGCTCTCCGCATCACAAGCACGGTCCTTCTCTGCCCGTCCCCCTCCGGAGCTTCTGACCCCGCAAAGAGGCCCATGCTGACGTCAGCCTTCGTGAAAGCGCCGGCGGCGCGTGCCGACTCCAACGCGGAGGCGTCGACGGGCATGGAAGAGGACGAGGAGATGGGGAAGGGACCCTGGGAGTACTGGTGCTTGAAGCCAGGTAGGATTGCGACGTCCCCGAACTCAGGAATTCGAAGCTGTTGGGTTTTGCAGTCCAACTTGCAGGGATCGCGGGGTAGAGAACTGGAAGTCAGAATACTGGGTAAGAATTGGGAGAGTACTGAGGAGTAGATTTGTGGGATAGCTAGTGACTTGCAGGATCTCGTGGGTCGGACACTGTTGTTGGTGCTGAAAACCCAACATGAAAAGTCCAACATATCCAGTCACACCCATCTGTTGCTCAGAGAAAATGAGTCGGAGTCGATAGAATGGGCTTCAGGGATACTAACAACAGCATCGTTTTTAATGCTTCAGCGGAAGCGTTAATCTGCGCTTTGAGGCTTGGGCTCAGTCTCCGTCGTCTTCCAGCTCAATACTGCAGGGGCGGCTCTGGTAGTCCTTGTGTTGACCAGATGGGTGCACTTAGACGCTATCCAACAGTAGACAGCCTTTTCGAGCTCGTTCAACATTCTTCCCGAATCAACCCGGAAGCCGCCTTCCTCAAAGCACAGCAAGAAGCACGTTCAGTCACCATACTTGGAATTTGATACCGGCTTCACCAGATTGCCTCTTCTGAGTTGCTCACAATCTGGCAGTTGAAGGCACTTCTCACAAGATTTCATCATCCGTAGCATGTGCAGGAGCGAACGCCGGTGACGCCGCTTCGTCATGCGACCCCCAGCACTCTCGACCCCTGCTCGTGCTCCGGAGACGGCCACCCAGGGACGGACACGTGTCGCCCGAAGACTGGCCGGCCGCTGCCCGCGAGATCACCCCTTTGGATCCGGAGAGCTTCTCCTTTGACGCCAGCCCGCAAACCGACCGGCAGTGGAAAGAACTGGCGGCGCTGAAAGTCCCGGTGTGGACGCAGAAAGGAAGTCTGGTGCCGTACGATGACCGAGCGTTCGAAGCAGTAGCGGTAGCGCTGGGGAACTGGCCGGGCAACGGAGGGAAGACGATCGTCGATTTGGGGTTCTACAAGGTGATTCTATGGTCCGAGATAAAAGCTATTTCCCCTCGTTCGTGTTGTTTGGCGGGGGATAACTAGCATTTTTTGATATAAGAAGCGCTGAGCAAAATGGTGCTTCTGGCCTTAGTTGCTCGGTTCAATTGGTGAACGCCCAACTTCTGCTTTTCCTTTCACGTGAGATCCGGACAAGTTTACGCAAATTCTGCAATCTTGCTGTACTGCAAAAGTGCTGTTTCTTGGTCTGCCCTAGCCTCTCTTTTCCTGTTTCCTTCGACTACCTTGCTGAAATCTGCTACAGTAGCTTGCGCAAGGCAGGCAGGCCACCCTTCTCAAACTCAAACCAGAGCTGCTGTCAGCCTGGCATTGTCGAGGTGCAAGCGGCGTTGCCCTTGCCCGCGGGGGGCGTTTCCCTCTCTATATGTTCTCCCTCCAACATTTTCTGCAAAGGCTCTCCTTTTGGGACCGTGATCTTGACTGACGTAATATGGTACAATTCCGCAGGACGGCGAGATCGCCGTTCTTGTCCGGGACGAGTCTCCGGACGCTCGGTCGTGGCTGCTGCTGCTGCCCACGGGCGACCTCCCCTTTGCTCCGGTCGGGAATACGCTCGTGGACAAGGAACCGATGGCGCTGCTCGCGCTCTGTTTGGAGACGGTGAGCGAAGCAGACTCTAGCAGTTTGTGATTCTTGGGCTTGCCATTTTGATTCTGATCTTGAAATCCTGTACCGCAGGTTGGCTTCCCCTTTTTTAGCTCGCCTAGATTTATGTATCTGCTTGGGGGCCTTCTGGTGATCCGCCGTTATTATCTGGCGAATGCTTTTGAATCTCTGTTGGGTTAACTGGGATCTTTTGGAGACCCAACCGGGATTTTGTGGGAGAGTGCCTAGTTGCACTCTTGTGAAGATGGTCTGTTGATACTTTACCGGCGTCCTTCTCGGTACAGTGTGTTAGTGCCCTTGGCATACAACGATTCTTAAACCGAAACGCTGGATAAGTTCTTACGCCGTCTACCATACAACAGAAGACGACATAATCGATACACTTTGCTCGAGACATTCACCCCTGCGGACCTCTAGGAGGGATGTACCTGAGAAGGAACAGTCATTCAAACCCTAAGCAACCGTAATAGCCCCGCGCGTTGTTGGACGGTAAACTGCTGGCCACGTAGAGTGGGTCAGTTTTTCCGGTGCGCAGACTGCTCAATCGTGTCTGTTTTGCAGGAGGCTATTCACACCGTCGACTGGGGTGAAGGCAAGCTGAGAGAGCTGTCGCTGCATGCCGCCATCACGCCCCTAGCCGTCAGCGGTACGTTTTTCCGTCTCGAGCACTTTTTTCATCACTTGCTTTGCTTGAAGCTCCCAAAGCTGGCCGTCTCTTGTTTGAATAGTGGACAGAGCTGGCCGAAACACCGGCCCCGTGATACTGCTGGAGTGTCTCTTCCGCTATGCTTGTTCAAAAGTTAGATTCGGCCAAATTTTGTGTGGCGAAAGTAGGAGCTGGTGTCCCAGAGCAGGGGGGAAAGGTCCTGATGTCTGACAGATCTGTACCAGTGTCTTCATGACTTGGCATTCCATTTTGGCTTCCAGGAGTCGTGCAAATGGCCCTAATGATATTTGATACCACGATATTTGGTTTCCTTTTGTTTCGTTTATTTTGTAATCACGCTGATTTGGTCCTGTCATCCAGTCATTGCAATGGCCTGCATCGGGGACGTGAAACGTCATTGGTGATTTTGTTGCTTTCTAAATCACTAACGCATATCTTGTTTCTAACCTTTTGCAGGAAAGCGTGGCGTCGCTTGCGTATCTGCTGGACATCGGCGCATTCTACTGTACGACTTGGAGGATTCCGAGAGCAACGAAGACGAGATCTGAAACCTATGTGGCAAGTGCTAGATAGTAAACAGCCGGACAATTGCCGAGCCACAAATGTCTTCACTGGAATCGCAGTACTAGATGACTCGAGCATTGAAACATGCAAGAATCTGCGCCATGACCATTTTATATATCTGAGCATGACTTGGATCTCCAACATTCATTGGCTCAGCTCAACATGTACCGTAGTCGGACAGCGGCTATACTTTGTTTAGCAATGCAAGCGACAAACAGAACTTAGAAGCCGTTCTCGCTCAGCGTGCAGTCATGTTCAGCATTTTCTTCCATTTTGGTATGGCTTCTCAGCGCCAAATGATTGCAATTTGCAATGTGTGGCCACCTGCATTTATACTGGATGGCAATCGGAATCCATCTTTATCCTTTTCTTAAAAGCGCAAAGCTTGATAGCCGTTGGACAGAGAGGATGTTGCGATCGGACGGTTCATAGAGAATGAGAAAAGGTCTTTTACCGTGATCCAAGACCGGTCAAATATTTGTGGCGGATGTGGGGGGCCATTCTTCAGGATTTTGGCTCGGCGCCCTCCCAAAACTGGCCCCCCGGTTGACCCCGAGCATCATGCCCGGAAGTTCCGGGGGGATTCTTCTCTTCCTTGTGGAATCTTCTCAAGCGAGTCAAGGTGCTCATCGGTGACTGCAGTTCGAGTCTCGACTCCCCTTTCGAAGGTTCAAAAGTTCGATACCGACCGCACCTTTGTCGGTACAAACTGCCATGCGTTCCCGGTTGCCCCCCCTAGCTTTTCGCACATGTGTTGTGGCCCCGGTAGTGTGTTGTCGCCGCCGGCGGCCAGCAATTTACGGGAGAGGGTACATTTACGCTGAGATCTGGGCGACTCTTGTGACCGGCCGAAGTTATCAGTCGCTTGTACGGTCACCGACTGAGATCAACTTGTGCCCCTGGTACGGTACACGGTACCTACCTGTTCCCCTATCACCTCCCAAGGCGACCAGGGCAAGGTTCGACGACTAATGACATGTCGACCGGCTTGTATTCTGTCGCCGGGGCCACTCGTCGAACGTCCGCCAGCTTGGGGCGAGCATTTGGGACACGTTCGTCGTGCATGCTCTGGAAAGTGCACCCCGAAGTTTTGCCAGCTGGGGAGACGGTGCATGGCGCTGTGTGAATCGTGGACGAAGCTGGGCAGGAAGTCGATGAGCTGACGCGGCGGCGCCCTTGCATTTCATTGGGGAACGAAGGGTTCAGTCGCATTGCATCGTTGAGGGAAGCGCCATTACCGCCAAGCCTTCCTCATTTGACCCTGAGAGCATTTTGATAGTGCTTAGGCCTTGGGGAGGCCTTAAGAGCAGGCCTTTGAGAGCAGGCCCTTCGTTCCTCCACTCTCTGAGGGTAGGCGCCAGAGAAGTTATGGCCATGGCGTCCTGCAAAGCCTTCAGCACTTTGGGGTCATCGCTCGCTCTAGGGCCCCTCAGATCCCAGTCCGCTGGTTTTGCTGCCCCGTCGAAGCCGGTAGCGCTGCCAGGTTTTCGAAATAGTGTCGGCGGTGATCTCCAGGTCGAGCTGCGGAAACGGTTGGAGTGCTCTTGCCCCGCCGTCCGGCCGTGTGCGCACCAGGGCGCCAGCCCGACCTCCTCTGTTGTGCACGACGTCCGAGATGCAGACAGCGAGAGCGCACAACTAGAGCGGGTGCAGAACTTCAAGGAGTTGTTTGACCGGAGCCTGGCGTTGAGGCCGAGGGAGCGAGTGGAGCGAGTGGTGCCCGTGCCTGACTACGACTCGGATGGCACGGGCGAGCAACGGTGGCCGGAAAAGGAAGAGGGGGTAGCTGAGGGGCCTGCCTGCGGACGCCCTGAAGTGGACCTTGGACAGCCGTCCGACTGGCTCTGGCAAGAGATCCGTGCCGAGGCGCGCAGGGACTCCGACGCTGAACCTGCACTCGCTAGTTTCCTGTACTCCACGATCCTTGCGCATGGATCTCTTGAGCGGGCGCTAGCTTTCCATCTAGCTAATAAGCTGTCCTCCAGCACTCTTCTAGGCACGCAGCTCTTCACCATCATCGCAGATAGCTTCTCAGCAGATCCGGACTTGTGGGATGCGGTCAAAGCTGACATCTGCGCTGTCAAAGACCGGGATGCAGCATGCACAAGCTACTCCCATTGCCTCCTCTACTTCAAGGGCTTCCTAGCATGCCAGGCGTACAGAGTGTCCCATAGGCTATGGAACCAGGGCCGCATTTACATGGCGCTCACGATCCAGAGCAGAGTTTCAGAAACCTTTCACGTAGATTTTCACCCGGCCGCCAGGATAGGAAAAGGAGTGCTTTTTGACCATGCCACGGGGGTGGTTGTCGGGGAGACGGCACAGATTGGAAACAATGTGTCAATTCTGCACCATGTGACGTTGGGAGGGTCAGGCACGCTGGCAAAAGTGCGGCATCCGATCGTGCATGATGGGGTCCTGATTGGGGCAGGTGCAACTCTACTCGGGCCGATCGTTATAGGAGAAGGTGAGCAGTTTGCTGCTGATCATGTTTTTCCCTTGGTTCAGTAAGTGTGGAAGTCTTTTTGGCTTGTATCTTTCATTTACCCTGCTAAAAGGTTGTTATGCAGAGACCATCAGCGAGCAAAGACAGCAGCCAGAGTTGTGAAAGTTGCCCGCTTGGTCGGCTCGACTCGCAAGGATTCTGGTCGTTCTTTTGAGGGAACAATGTGCAAGTTTTGTCTCCTTGGTGCATTGTCAGCACGTCATACTGCATTAGATGTAGACGCACATCTCGCACAGAGATCTAAACGCTCTTACTTCGTCTGCTTGAGAATGAATCTGGGGTATCAGCATTCTGGTGGTAGATTGAGACAGGATAGGACTTTAGACTGGATCGCTTTTCTAGGTCAAATGCAGGTATCACTAGTGTCAAAACAATGAGTGGCAGAAAACGTCTGGTTTTTCTGCTGCATCTATGCACAGCATGCCTACAGTGATAGTTTCTTGCGCTCACCCTCCCTTTTCCGAGTTTACCCCTGAATCAAGCATTTGGAATCTCGACAAGAGGAGCTGCAATAAAATGGTTGTTTCCATGGCAGAAAGTTCGAAGTGCATAGGCAGCATCTGAATTATGCTGACTGTCGTTCCCTCTTCTATCTTCAGGAGCCAAAATTGGAGCGTGCTCAGTAGTCCTGACTGACGTGCCTCCACACACCACTGCTGTTGGGAATCCGGCGCGGCTCATGGGCGGCAAGACGAACCCAACTCAGCTGAAGGAGGTTCCGAGCGAGAGTATGGATCATACGTCTTTCATTGAGAATTGGTCGGACTATATTATATGAGGTTGCTAAGGCAGTATAAGTAGGCGAGATGTTATCTAGGTTGGCAGGGTAATGGCGAAGAATAGTGGCAAGCTCTCTAGTTTTAGAGGTAGAGATGGTGAGATCTACAGACATTGAGGAGACAGCGCGATATACAGAGATTGGGGTGTAGCCAGTCAAGTCCCCGGTGTAGAGGCAAAGCAGATGCACCGGAACACAGAGTTTTTGAATGTCACGGGCAAAGAATTGTTGAAATGGAAGAGCCTTTTGTGCAAGTAAGGCTTTTGATGATGACTTTCCGATCAGTTTATTGTTTCATAAAATCGGATGCCGCTTTAAGGTAGCATGTCAGCGTCCATTTCTGCTTCTTGGCATGTGGATTATTTATAATTCTTATGGTATACTGTAATCACCATGCCCTTTATCTGAGAGCTATTTCGTATTGAAGCATGAAAGACGGAACAAGTGTCTGACTTAAATCCTCCAGATAGAATCATTCTTGCTATCTTGACCGGACCGCAAGTGGTGAGAATGCTTCCGGCTCTGCCATTCGTATTGCCTAGGCCAGGCTTACGCCCCTATGCATAGATTCATGCTGAAGCTGACATGCTCAGAATCCTCATATGATGTACTTAGTGACTGTGACAACCATACATCTCATGTAGATGTCTTCTTTCATTGAAAGACATGTACCTGCAATTGCATGCCATATATATATATCCACATGCATGTACATGCTGATATGCATGGCACGCAATTAGTTGTCAAGCTAATCTGCATGGTACGTATAGAATGTGCTGCCGCAATTTGATAAGATACGTGCCAGATATACATATTGCCGTCAAGCTGCAATACAGTTTTAGCACCTGCGCTCGGAGACATGGTTTGATCGAATTAATTAGTTAGTAGGACATTATGCCGTCGGCCGTCAGAGCCGGCCATGCATTATAATGGTACGTAGTCATGTTCATGTGCATGCTGTCGGAAGCATGCCATGGCAGCTCGGCAATACTAATTCAAGTTCTCAAATTTGGCCAGCACGCACCTTAAAATTTATTGGCCCATGGAATTGCGCGGCCCAAACAATGTGGAAATTGCCTGCTACCTACGATAACGACAGGTCACTCCATGCAATACTTAAAGTCAACACATGTGGAATCAGTGTGATATTGCATAGGAAGTTTGGTATGACAGCCGTAATTCTACTGTTTATATCTTGTGATCCTCGGGACTCGCAATGTGCGTACCAGCGTACCAGCGCGTACCTCTGCTAAACTCTGACGGGTATTTGAACCATTTGAAGCCTATCTGAGCACTAGCGCCGAACTCAAAACGGGTCAAAATTGACTGCGTGCCTAAGAATAGTTTGCGTGCATTTATAAATATGATTTCACCAGTCAGGTCAAATAGATATGTTTCAGATCAGAGAGTCTGCAAGTATGCAACTCGCAATTTTCGAACTCCTTACCTGTTAAGGAAAACAAAACTCCCCAATGGCTGACAACCTGCAGGACAACACACAAGATGTTTTGCCAGGATCGTTATCAAACCGCATGTTTGCGTTGCGAGGTTGAACTTGACGGACTGGTAGCTCACTTCAGACAACGAGATTAAACGTACATTGCAGGGGTCTTCTGGGTAACAAAGTTGAAGCAAGACGTCAGCTGATTCGCCGTTCTTTCCACGAAAACGTTAGCCTATACTTGGCCTTCAAAAGACTAGAATTGACCTTCAATCAACCTAGTGAGGCCATGACAAAGTTCAAGTCTCAAGGGCGTGACAGGACAGAATCGACAACCTCAGCCAATAGCTTTTCAAAAAACTGGAAACGCAGTTGTCTCGCCTTTGACCGCAGATCTTCCTCACTTCTTTCAAGTGACTTCGTCAAGCAATCACCTGCCGTTTCAGATCATTCCTGGACTTCTCTTGATCCTAAGCTGCTCAGAGAAGCCCTTCCCGATGAATAAAACGCAGTCACGCGCCGGCTGGACGACCAAATAGCTCACCGCAATCGTCCGCTCCGGCCGTGCCGCCAGCCATTCCTTGAAAGCTGCAACGCGCGCCCGGAAGATCTCAGGCGACTCGGGAAAGATGGCCAGCGGGTCGCCTTTCCCGTCAGTGTGCCACCAGATATCTGCACGTAAAGGCAGGTTCCACTGTCTGGGGTCGCCCTTCGACGCACGGGCTTTGCTTTCCAGCGTGCTTCAGGGTTCCAGAGAAAGGATCATGCCGGCAGATGTACACCGAAAGGACGACTGTCCGCAGGAGAAATCTTTCGGAGAGATGCACGCGTCCGCTGCTAGAATGGGAACGTGCAAACGCGAGGAGCGACGAACGTCAGATGCAGGAACACAGCACTCCCAAGGCAACCCGGTGGGGGTTCAATATTCTCGAACTTGTCAAAATAGAGCGTTGAAGAAACAGACCAGGATTGCGACTTTCGCCAAGCTGCCTGTATATGTGGTTGTCATCTTTGACACTGGATGCCTCTCAGAGTCTCAATAAGGTTGTTAGAAGAGATACCGTGACAAGGCCACAGGCGCTGCCGACGATCCTCTTCGTCGAAGACAACCGCAGATTTTGTGGTCAAAGAACATGCTGGACTTTGCACGAGGCCAGTTGAAGGAGTTGCCTTCCTCCGAGCCTGGTCGACGTTTCTGACCCTCTTCCCAGCCCAGCGACCAATGCTTATTGTCCGTCAGGAGTCCTCGAAAGTTCTACTCCGAAGGCCAAAACCTTTCTACCGCTCAACCAACACCATCAAGATGACTCAACCGTCGATGCTTCCAAAGAAACACACAAGCAGCTGACGTTACGCTGACAACGGCGAGCTACTCACCGGCCAGCGAGGAAAAATCGAGGGCCGGGTACTCGAGCAGAAGGTCGTTCGGGTGGCGCCCAATGTCGGACGCCATCCACAGCCTTTCTCGTGCAAGCTCACACACTACCTGCTTACCACCGCAGAAGTAAAGTCAGAATCCGTGGATCAGACGACTGGTACTCGTAGGCTCGCTTCGTGCACACAATGATCAAAGTGATTTTGCAAATCCAACTTCCAGTCTCTCTGCTGGTCGAGGGGGTCTTGGCTTACTCCTTAGTGTCTCGAAGCAAGAGCACGTGCATGCCATTGAGACTGCTCGAGCCGAATCTTTGTGCAAGCAAACCCAAAAGCACTGAAAGTGAATCAGATAAGTGTCTCTGCTTTCGAGCTCCGACGAACGGAGCTGCATTCTGGGCCGCTACAAAGCCCGGCCAGACTACGCCGTATGAAAATCAAACACTGGTTCTAAGAACCCACAAAACCGCTGCTCTGGTTTGTAAAAGCTGCAGGGGGCGACTGCAGATCTTAGAAGGCCATCAGAATCTTCCACAAAACCCCAGCTTTGCAATTCTCTCGCAACAAGCACGACCAACACGACCCTCATCAGACATTAGCAACGCTTGACCTGATTGCGAACTGCCACAGTCTGGCTGGCTCCACAAGCTTCTGACGTCTTAAGAGCGGCCCTTCCAAAAGCGCCTTTACTCAAACTTGCTTGCGCAATTCCACTCCAGTTTCCGAGAAACTTGAAAGGCTTGACGCATATCCTTCCACTCCAAAGGCCTTACCGTTACGCAATCTCTGGGAAATATATATCCTTGACCCTTTTGATGAGCCGAAATCCCGGGTCGGTATTTTGCAAACTGTCAAAAAGTCTCACCTTTGGGGCGTCAACGCCAGCAAAGGCCAGTTGCATGGTGTCCATTGCACGCGTAAGAGGTGATGTCACTATCAAATCGATTGGTCCCAACTCAGCCACCTTCTTGTTCACCGACTTGGCCTGCACAGAAGCCTCCCCATTTGTCATCTCATGAGCCAGCCCGAGCAAACAAAGTCACAAAGACAACGAGCTATCGCCTGAGGATCTGACAGAGCAGCACCGAGAGTGTGGTACAATTTCAAGTGGACGTCCTTACAAGGGCCTTTCAAGTGTGGCCAATCTTGCTCACTCCACCTAGATGAAAGACTAAGGTGTCCGGCAGGTTTGTTTTGTCGCACACTGTCTGTAACTGCAAGCAACTTACCTGTTCTCGACCTTCTGGTGTCAACCGTGTGTCATACATCAATGGATCTGTAAAACCTGCACATACAATCTTGAAATTAGTGCATCACACTAAAATCAAACCACTGGCAGGATTCAAAAATATGTAGGTTGCAGGAGAAGATACTCCTAACCGGTAAGGCACAGCGAATGTGGATTTTTGTTAAGAGGTAGAGAATCTGAACCATTCCAATTGTGTCCAGTGACAAACTGTAATGATTGTGGCTTACTGGCAAAATCACCCTCTTTGCAGGTTTGATTCTTGCAGAAGTTGCTGGCCTTTAGGTGGTCTAGCTATTGAGGTCCCTCTAGTACGAGTTTCATGTGTCCTTTCTAAATACACGCTGGTCCAACTAAAGTCTCTTTGAGAAGCAATACAAAGTATTGTTGCCTTGACTGAGTGGGGATCCGATCTTTTCAAGCAGCTCTTACTCGCCTACTAGCTCGATTGTATTTCAACAATCTTTTGCAAGTTTACCCTCAGCAGCCAAATCCCCTCCGCTTACAGCAAGAACACGCTGCACCCTAACTGAGTAAAAAATAGAAGCTTGATCATGATATTGATTCAGCTGCTCCTTGCTATGATTGTGCAACGTATCTCCTAGATGAGTCAGGACGGCGCAGCGCTGGCTCGGGGTCATAACCTACAAGATCGACAAGCGTGGTGGTAATAAGTACAAAAGTGGGCAAGTAAGATACCGTACCTTGCGGAGCAGATCCCAGGAACACATTCATCTCAGTAACTCCATGCCGCACCAGATGAAGAACCTTGTCGTCCTTAGAGGCTGCAGTATTGCTCTTCATTTCCTCCCCGCTCTTCTCGCTTCTGATTTCAGAATGTCCAGATTGTTTATCTGACGTTGCCCAAGGGGTATATTTCTGCAACATGGTTTTCTGCTGGCAGAACGAACAAGGCAGAAGAAACTGCTTGAAGGGTTTGAGCGATGGGGCGCACCGGCTCGCTATGGCCACCGCCATGACTCTGGTACCATGCAGCGCATGGGTTTTTTGCGAAGCCCCGTCAGGGCGAAGCCTAGGATATAGGTCACCCTGTCTGTCCGACCCGAACGTCCAATCAGTTAGGGTGTCCACGTGTCACGTCTCAAAACGTCGAGCATTCTCCGAACAGCTAGGCCCAGGACTCGGAAAGACATTCACCGGTCGAACGTTCTAAGGGCCCGCGTAGTGACGTGCAGTACTCGGTTGACTTTCAAATGCCCCGAGCATTCTCTGGACCAGCGCCTCACTTTGCTTCCTGAGCCGTCGATTAGAAAGCAACAAAATTTGGGACGGAGGATCAAGTGCATTGCGGACTGCGGACGGTTCCCAATGGTGCCAGCCGGCCCAATAGAAAGCGGGGGGGTTCGGGGGGCAGCAGCCCCCCCGATTCATGAATGTTGTATAAGTTGTGAGCCTAGCTGCTCGCTAAAGTAGGTACCGGTAGGTTGATCGGGTTTTTCATTGAAGTCGGGGGGGTTTGGGGGGGCGGCAGCCCCCCCAATATCGTTTGAGTAGAAAACTTTTGGACAGGGGGGGTGCGGGCTTCGCTTTTTTGCAGACGAACGTCTGCCCAAGAAACTAGTCAAGATCAGATTTCAGATCTGCTGGTGCCAGCTAAAATTTCAAGATGCTCTCCCGATTTCCGGTGCCTATGTAGGTACCGGGGATGGCAGCGCAAATGATGCAGCATTTTGGCTTATAGATTTAAGTTGGTGTAATTTTGTTTCATGTTGAAATAATTTTGTATCGAGTTGCTGGAGTTTGTAATCGAGTTGTTGGAATTTGTAATCGAGTCGTCGGAGTTTGTAATCGAGTTGAAGTACTTCGTAATCGAGTTGTAGTAGTTTGCAATCGAGTTGTAGTACTTTGCAATCAAGTTGTTGGAGTTTGTAATCGAGTTGTTGAATCGACTCGCGGGTGACGGAGCACCACCTAAATTCGCGGAGTAAGTCGATGATATACTTCTGTGCCGTCCGATCAGAGACAGCAATGATCGGACGGTTGATCGCAGATCTGCTTTTAGCCCCAAGCGAAATTTCTCCGGACAGGTTCGAACTGGGGTTAGCTGTTGATTAAAAACTGGTTGCGACACAGGCGGAAGGTTATTCAAGCCAAAACCGCGGCGATATCAAAGTCTTCCTCAAACTGCAAAGATCAGGATTTTCCAGCAGCCCGTTTAGGCAAACTAGACCCGGCCACTCCTGGGTTAAAGAGTGCGGGGGCAGGAAACCCAAAAAATGACGGGTGGCGCTCGCCGCAATGATTGTAGCAATTTGACAACTACCCAAATCAACTTGGTTACAAATTACAACAACTTATCCAATAAGTTAAACGAGTACAATTTAAACTCATTTGGCGTATACGATCGCAACATGAATTGTTGCATCATTTGCGCTGCAATAACCGGGTCCGTACGCATGCATGAATGCGCGAGTGGGCAGTTTGAAGAGACGGCCGTTAGGGTGACTCGGGCACCGGGCATCTCTGCCTTTTCACCGGGCCCTACCAGTGAGAATTACCGGTCGGTATCCTACTGGTATACGAGTTGGCATGCCGCATTAACAGTCAGGACCAGCCGGTTACTCATAGCTCAAAGGCCGGCTTGTCTCCCGGGGTAGCACCTTGCAAGGAAAAGACGGTGGAAACGAACGGGTCAGCCGTCTGGACCGTGATCTGGCTAGCGGTCGCCGGTCCTCGACTGCAACTTCAAGCTCTCGAAATGCAACACAGAACTCTGATCGACTCTGACTCCGAGTCTTGGTCCCAGCTGAAACTTGAAAGTTGAAACCATAGGCCCGTGATGTTGGGGGCCAGCGTGCCATTCTAATTTCTAGAGGCATTGTCAATGATCGTCTTTATACTTTAGATCGCGTGTTAGCCAGCGATTCTAGAGCAGCATTGAGCAGTTCTGGGGCAACCTGGTCACCTGTGGCGGTGGTGGTTGGGAAATGTGATGGTCTTCGGTTGTGGCAAAATATAGGTTGGACTTCGTGACTTGCTTGTCAGCTGATGCTGCATTCTTGAATCATGGCGCACAATGTGTCTGACAAGAAGTTGAAGAAGGGCGCCAGAGCTGCAGAAAAGATTGATGTCAAGGACTTCCCACTTCCGTATGAACTCTTTCCACCGCCGCTGCATCCTAATCTTATCAGAACTCCCTTCAGTGAGGAACAAAAAGCCAGGGTTGCAAGGCTTGTAGCTATCGTATCTGAGATGCTTAGTTCGTGGGCTGAGACCATTTGGGGGATTGAAGAGGACATGTGGCCTGAGAAAGATATTCTCATGTGGGAGTCTGCTGTGAACTCTTATGAGGAAGTGTTGCGACGACGGAAATTGAAAGTAAGCAGGGGCCAGGCTTACTCTTCCTAGGACAATCTGCATAATCGGCTGGATATAGAGGGTAGAAACTCCATGAGTTTGTGAACAAACTTCTGGTCTACCTTTAGCTCAACGACTGCACAACAGCCGCTTGTGCTTGTGCTTGTGTTTGTGCTTGTGCTTGTGCTTGTGTCTGCCGAAAAGAAAAGGTGCGAGTTGGCAGAATGGTGCGTTCACGGACTGTTCCTTATCCCTCCATTCATACCTGCTTCTAGATGTTTGCATTGTCTCCATTGGGATAGTGGTGCCTGAAGCGAGGGGCTGCGGGTGTTCTTCTCATGCAAAGGGTGAAATTATGAGCCGCTTCGAATCTATTAGGAGACCACTATGAATTCTTTGCATTGGGATAGGAACATTGATGCAATCTGAATGTTGAGGCTGTCAACCAGATCGCGTAGTAGAGTCTCCCAGCTTCAGCAGTCAGTTGTTTCTACATTTGCTTGAAACTCTCTACTCGCTTGTGTCATCTCAGGTCAAGCCAAGCACGCGCAGTGAGCGGCTTCAGATCTTGAGGCAATGCTACAGATTTTACACAGAAGACTACGGCCCTCCTGACAAGATGCAGCTGGAGCGTCTCGTATTTGAAAGCTGTCAGGCCATTTACGAGGAGCGCAAGGGTGTGATCCAACAAGCAGTTGAGAAAACAAAGGCCTTGCTGGCTCTAGCGGACTTCTGCGAACTGTGCCATCTGCACAATGTGGGCTTCCGGCTATGTGGCAGGTGAGGATGACTGCCTCTGTGCAACTCTTTTTTGTTTGTGTCTTCTCGTCATTCAACGAAGCAATTGTGGAGTGGGTGCAAGTTTCATCAGTTGTGGACAGAATTGCTTCAGTTTGCAGAAGCGTCGTGAAGTTGACAACATGAACGAACAAGCAATGGCGATAGTTAAGTCGTTCATGCTGTCCATTCGAGTGGGATTGAACTTAATGCTGATCACGGAAGCCTTTGAAGATTCCCTCCCTGTCGTGCAGGTGTAAAGCTGTGAAGTACTGTAGTGAAAAATGTCAGAAGGAAGATTGGAAGAAAAAGCAGGGCGGTCATAAGGAGGTCTGCAACGCTGTTCAGAGGGGTGAATTGAAACCTGAAAATGTTCCACGGTTGAAAGTAATGACCATGGTGCCAACGCACGCCGCTAATGCTCTCATTCCTGCTTACGTGATGACCCCTAAGTTCGTATATAAAGCTTAGAGCAGTCGCAGGTATGGTCGATTAAGAAGCTCGCCACGCACCGGACTTCGAAACATGCGATTGTCGAGTATATAACACACTGACATGGTCGATTTGAGGCCTGATATGCACTTGAATCTTCCAACACGTACCGTCGTCACATGGTTGGCCAGATTCGAGGAAAGTTGGTCTCATTAACACAAATAAGTTGGTTATTCGATCATCAACATAGACGAGCCTGCGATGTGGCTTTCGATGCCGTTCGAATTATTTGATAACTCATGCAGAACGTCGGACTACCATGAACTACCATCACTCTGGTCGGATCCTATTCGGTAGCATGCAACTTACGGACTGGACATCCTTGCTGCTGCTTAATAATTCATTAGCAGCACGTGCACGACAACATTGATTGGTGACATGTCACACAGTCATTCGGATATATTTCTCATGCCTCCAATGTGGCTCATGCAAGCCTAGATTGAAGCGCTATAACATGTACTAACCCTGAAATTCTGATAGAGACTTTGCCGCCCAGTCCTTGATACAAAGGGATGCACACGATCATCAAATCGATGAGCTACTGATACATGGATCACCGGTTTTTTCAAGCCTCCTCTGAAGTTGACAGAGATACAGAATCGGATAATTGACTTTAAAGGGAATTCTGCAAAGACCACATATGCTATGTACCTACATGGGCCCGGCCAATGATACTGCACAAACCTCGACTTCATATGTGCCTGAGCTTGCGCAAACACGCCCTTGCGGAACAAGTCAACCCGTGCGTTGCCCGATTTACGGCAACAGAAATGAATCGAGGGGGAGCTTCTGCAATCGCGTATTAATCGGCCAGCAAACTGGCCAGGATTTCTCCCATGCTCTTGCTGTCGGAATCACCAGATGATTTGCCCGTGTCCGTCAGGACGGCTGCATCCAGGCTGAGCTTGCGGTTCGCAATCTCCAGAATGCTCTCGTCCACCGTCTGTGCCGAAACCAGCCTGCAGAAAATGCGCTGCATGAGCTTCGGCGCCTCCTCTGGTTAGCGAAGGGGCCTGGATATACTATGTACACAAGCTGAGCAGCATTGGATGAACAGATGGATGTCGGCGGGGAAAACAACAAGCTCCACCTGACGACCGGAGTCGGTTTACTGAGTCTCCAACTCGCTGGCTGGTCAGCAGAAACTCGCCTCGAAAATTCGAGGCTTCCATGATTTGACCTTGCAATCAAGAAATCAGGCCGCAATCCGCAGGTTGTCCGATTGAACTGCTCGATTCTCAAAGGGGGAAAGTTGCTTGGCACGGCGCGGAAGCGGAATCAGGCACAAAAGCCCCGATACATGGAGGCAAACGACGCGGCAAGAACGTTCCAGCCGGCAGGACGAACGCCGACCATCTCACTCGTAGACCTTGACGGGCCTCGTCTAATCGTCCAAATCAAACCAAACCCGCAACCGTTCCTCATGCGAATGCCGCTTAACAAAGAATCCATACAACACACAGAGAGGGTCCAGAGGACGTCACGAAATACGCGACTTTGACCCGTTAACAGTGACGGCCGCGTCTGGCCGCCGAGATCGTATACGGCACCGTCTTTCTTCTTGGAGACGTCAGCCAACAAGTTATACCAGCACAAGGACGGTGAAATGACGTCACGCGGTAGAGGAGCCTGACCTGTAGACAGTGACGGGCCGCGTCTGGCCGATACGGTGGCAGCGGTCCTCCGCCTGGCGGTCGACCTGCGGATTGAAGTCCACGTCGTGCAGAATCACCGTGTCAGCGCCCGTCAGATTCAGGCCCTGCAGTAGCCACGAGAAACGATTGCTGACGTCAGCCTAGCGTGAGCATGGGAGTGAGCGTTCAGAGAGTCGTGCCATGCTGGGCAGGCGGTTGCTCGGGGGCGATCGGGCGGGGCGTGGCGTCGAAGGGGCAGTCAGCACAGCCCGGGAAAGGGAGCCGTGCCTGTCGAAGGGGGAGAAAGAGGCGGAACAACCATCGACTGGCTTACAACCGGCCTTATTACATAGGAAATCAAGAAAAAGGGACAATCTAAAAGAAGCGGCTGATCTAGTTGACTCCCTGCTCTTGCTGGTCCGGTAAAGCAAGCAGGCTCTTATCTATAAGGTAGCTCAAGTCGCGAGCAAAGCTAGCTGCTTTGAAGAGATGCTCTCGGGGGCACGGGGATGGGGTCCCCGGCCCATAAGAAAGTCGCGCCGGCAGTCAAGGACGACCGGGTGTTTCCTCCGGGAGGGTCCCTCAACTCCGACTGCCAACAGTAAGTGAGCCAATTTCCCAAGATAGCTTTTTGCAGCCCCAAAGAATCAGCCCGTCTTTTACCTCGAGCAGATTTGTTCGCTCCCCTCCTTCTGCAGGCTCAGGTGCCGGGCAATGGCTCAGAGAGAGACATCACTGAGAAGAGCAATTGCCCTTATAAGACGATTATTATCCTACTCGAAAACCAGAAACGACTAAGGTGAACAACCTTACCTGCCCCCCCGCTCTCGTTGACAGCAGGAACGCAAACAGATTATCGTCCTGGTTGAAGCGGTCCACCAGCGCCTGGCGCTCGGACACCTGCGTGCTGCCGTCCAGTCGGACGTACGAAAAGCCGAGCAGCTCCAGCACCCACTCCAGCACGTCCAGCATCGCCGTCCACTGGCTGAAGATCAACGGCCGGGAACTCTTGGCGCGCAGTGCGGGGAGGAGCTGGGTCAGCACCTGGGGGACGGAGGAATCTGGTTTTGTCGAAGCTTCACAGTTCGTGTCCGAACCTTCTGCGATCGAGTAAAGTCACACAATTTCTGTACCTTCATTCAGTGTTGAAGCTTCAAGAATCAAACTCTGCGGTCAATCATCGAAGTTCTATACTACCGAGAAATTCGTGCTTCACTTGCATCCCGCTCATAACCTCGACGTTAAAACTGCGGTACGATGAAAGTAAAATCATGAAACAATGCTGTGACTCGAGGACGTCAGGGCGAAGAGCCTTTGAGTGTAAGGAGCGACGCCTCACCTCGCACTTGCCGGATGCCAGGGCTTCTTCCCGGCTGAGGGTCTTCTCGGCTAGCCCGGGGTACTGTCCGCATACCTGCATTGGATATTTTTGAGAACTTAGAGAACATGACAAGGGCCGTGCCTAAATATGCAATCCGTCATTCAGATTCGTTGACTTTGCCATGTCCGAAAGAGAGAGCGTGCACAGAAGCTCGACTTCGTCGGCAAAACCGTCACTTTTGAAAGCCCGTTCGAGGATCTTCGGTCGGTTTCTGCAGCCAAATTGTTGCCACGTGGCTCGCTGCGACGTGTATAGCGAGGCCGTACAAATCGAGGAAGCCTCTGTTTTGGCTGGTCGCTTACCTGATGCAAATCGTAGTCGCTACTACCTTGCAACTCATCGTATATCTGCGAAAGACAAACGTAGGATATGGAATTCGAGGTGAAAGCGAGCAGCCAAAAGCACGTCGCCAAGATCCGTTCATTGGAGCTTCCGACGAGTGGGTGAGAATGCAAAGCTCTCAAAAAAGAGATCTTTCGATTGAGCGAGGGCCGAAAACAAACGACATCATCAAAAAGCGGACGAGGTGATACGCGAAGAATCAGAGGAGACAGAGAGGGCCCTGCAATCTCCAGAATTGCGACCGCGCTCAGAGGAGGTGCAGCGCTTAATCAGAACAGGCTGATGGGCTCACTCTATCAACGGACGCTTCAACGTTGTACACTCCCCAAGAGTGCAGCTTCTCCGCAATGCTTCGGACGTCCGAGTCGGAGAACTTCGACCGGACGAGAAGCGGGTGGTTGGCAATCTGCATCGGGTGGATAGTCAGGAGCGGCTTCAAAAGTTAGTATAGAGACATGCGCTCAAAAAGTCCAGAATATCATCCAGCAGGGAATGCTTAAGGAAGTTTTAGAATGAACTTGTATCAGGTACGACTCACACGGTCAATCAGATTCCAGCGGATTCCTTTCAAGGAAAGTAGACCGGAGGCGCAAAACAGATTTCGGGCCTCGGCGAAAATTAATCGACGGGTCACCAAAATCTTGATAAGCCTTACGGGCAGGAAGGAGACGGCGACGCAAGAGAAACAGACAATCTGATGGTCGAACAGATTGAAATAGGAGGCATGGTCCCTATGTAAGTGTAAGCAACCAAGCGAATGCAGCCCCTTGCAAAGACTGACAGTTTCATTCATGCTTACAGTATTCTGGACTGCGTTGCAGTCCAGAGAAACGTGTTGGCAAACAAAACTTTCCTACGAGGAACCAAATTGTCGGGCAGAGAATGTCCGTTCGACCCAAACAAGGACTCGTCGTCAAATTCCACTTTTATCCTCGATAACGCTGTTCGTCGTGCATGTATTTCGAAGAAAAGGCAGATCATCCGACTCGCTCTCTAGGCTACGTGCTCGCCTATCAGATTGCTCGCTCTCTAGGCTACGTGCTGTCCTATCAGATTGGCCTCGTCGAACTGGAACAGCGCAAGTATATGCCTTTCGGATCGCCCGAAAAATTGGACAGACGGGCTTTCCAGCACAGACCAAGGTAGTAAGAATCAGTCTGCTCAGTGAACATTCAGTACTGCTGGTTTCGGAGTCGCACCTTCCGCAGGTGCGTAAAGATGTTCGCCACCTGGCGCTTGGGCATCTTGTTCACCCGCCCCGTCGGCCCGGCCTGCGCCCGGTACTCGTCGAGCGCCGAGCGGTAGAGCTCCGCCTGGGCCGGGTGCATCGCGAGCGTTTCTACCTACACACAAAAGACGGAGGAGGATGTGTGAATGCGCCTAGAACGTTCGGACAGAACGGTGACGCTCCTGAACCGGGTGCGTTTGCGACGGTTTCTACCTACACACAGAAGACGCAGGAGGAGGTGTGAATGCGCCCGGAACGCTCGGACAAAGAGGTACAGCTCCGCCTGAGCCGGGATCGTTTGTACCTACACACGGAAGACGGAGGACGAGGTGTGAATGCGCCCGGAATGTTCGGACAGAGCGGTGAAGCTCCGCCTGGGCGGGGGCGGAAGAGGAGGGAGTGAATGCACTGGGAAAGTTGGGCGTGCGACTTCTATATGGAGAACGTCGGAGAAAATCAATCACCCTTTCCACAACCGAGAAGCCCGGAGACAGCTTTTCCGTCATCCTTTTCGTGACAAGAATGAGACCCAGTTTAGTCCTCGATGGTCGCCATGCCACGTAACAAGACCTAGATTGACCTTCTTAGAAAAGAAGCAAACGTCAAAAAAGTTGGACGCTGCCGTAACATCCTTAGTCAGAATCAAAATGGACATGGACCAGACGACTGAAGACTGCCTGAGGAAATCCAAACGGCGACATTGAGTTGACGCTCAAAGCAGCAGAAACAGCGCACCTTTTGCTGCTTCGCCACGAGCTGCTGCATGACGTCAGCTTTCACCCTGCGCAGCACGAAGGGCGCCAGGATCGTCTTCAGCCGTTCGATGAGGCCAGTCTGCGTCTCCGGACTGTCCGATCGGCTGCCGGCCGCCTCAAGGTCCTTGAGCTGGAAGATGTCAGGAAGCAGAAAGTTGAGCAGCGTCCACAGCTCCTGTACAGCCAAGAGAAGAGCGATTAGCAGGTGAATGTAATCGGAGTTAGGGTTCTTATCGCCCAAACAGCGGCCAGCGTGGCACTGCTTAAACTCAGTCAAAGTAAAACTCAAGTCCTGGACATTTTCAGGGAGTTTCTTCGGTTCGATGTTTTTCTCCTTCGAAGCAGATCTGAAAGTCTCAGCCCTCGGATCAAAAGGGAAGACAGGCACGCCGCTAGAGAAATACGGTTACAATGGCGGACGAAGAGGGACACCCGCCCAAGCGTGCTTTCACTGGAAAGGTTCGGGTTCTGGCGAAGACCGGTTTCCAGACGAAAGTACATTCTTGGCTCTGAAAGCACCAGCTCAGCGGCTGTCCGTGAGCTACGAAGATGGACCCGGAAGGCAACAGTCCAACCAGTCATCGAACCATTTTTTGAGAACAGCTTCAGCTATTTGACGCACTTTGAAGAATGACAGAGAAAGTTTACCTGCAGATCGTTCTGTAGAGGCGTCCCCGTCAGCATCAGCCGGCACTTGGCAGCGGACGCGATTTTCCGCAGCTTCTTCGTCCTCGTACTCGAGTGGTCTTTCAGCAGATGCGCCTGTGAACCGCATCCGATTATGAAAGTCAGACCGGAGACGTCAGACGGCTTTGCACTGCACCAGATTCGCTCAGCGTGCATCCAGGGAGGGTCGCAATGTTGCAATCAAAATTTCCGGACCATCAAAGGCAATGAGCTCTAGCACCTGACATCAAGCACGATACGATGGTCTGCAGAAGTTCAGGTTGGGAAGTAAGTAACGTTATGTTGTCGTTTACAATGATTCGAAGTTCGAGCCAGCTTGGTAAGCACTCAGGAACCGTATGACCTGATGTTACACGCTGGATAGATGGAACCCGGGAAGAGACGTCGAGACTGCAACGAGGGACTTGCCTCGTCCATCACAACACAGTTCCAGTCGAAGCGCCTCAGGAAGCTGCGGTCTTCCACAGCCAGTGTACTGAGACAATGGAAAGAGAACAGTCAGCTTCGACGAGCCGCTTCCCGTTTGCTTGGCCGTGCTCAGCCGACGATTTCCCAGCAAGCGAGTGCGAGAAAGTATGGCAGCATACCAAAAACAGGAAGCGAGGGAAGAAGTTTTGGCTGCAGGCTTCTACTCTACCACGGCCACTAACCAAGACTCGGCGCTGCCTGATGGACTGAGCAGCTCTTTTCACAGCAGTCAAGGGCAAGACGCTGAGTAGTCCTCTCGAAAAATACGTTGAAGTCTCACCTGCTCCTTTCGAAGAGAGAGTACGTCGTGAGGAGGACGTCGAACGGAGGCGGCCCTCCATTCCGGCCCTCCATTTCAATGCCGTGGCGCACATGCGCGCGTTCAGGCCCGTGGTACACCACTAGAGTTAAGGCTGGACACCTGAAAACACACAAGAAGGGGCACAATATTCGTGACTATACTGGTAGATATGTCAGAACCTGGAAGGGCCTTAAATGTATGCAGAAGGAGACAGGAGATGATGAGACTTGAGCTTTGCAGCTAAGCCTCTCTCACACAAGGTCCAAGACGAAGCTTCTGAGATCAACATGAGGGCCAAGTAATAACCAGTTGGGTAACTTCTCTTGCACAGAAAAGATTCCTTATGAGCAGGGATCGGGAAAATACACAGACGTTTTCGTTTGCAGTCTGGCGCCCTTACCAGAGCTGAAACTCCCTGCTCCAGTTTTCGAGAAGCGATGCAGGGCAGACAACTAGGTGCGGCCCCTGGCCAGTGTCTTGGCTCAGGATGCCCAAATATGTAATGGCCTGGACCGTCTTCCCCAGTCCCATCTCGTCAGCGCAGATTGCCCCTCCAATGTTCTGCTGCCGGAGCAGCAGCAGGAAGTTGACACCGATGAGCTGGTAGGGCTTAAGGAGAGGGGTGCTGGCAGTGGCAGTGTCACCGGACGCGCAGACCGCTGTGATCTCAGCCTGCATAAACCAAACTTCATGCTTTTCGCTGCCGAATACTTTTCAGTGCAAGATGATGGGTCCCGTTGCGAGGTATGTATTGTTTGTTCTTTTGATAGTGCCCCCTGTAACAGAGTTTGAGCACATCAGAATTTCTCTGATGATAGTCTCCAGGATCCTGATGCTTGCTTGAGGAACCTCAATAGTCTTTACCCAATCCTCCAAATAAATCAGAGGTCCTCTTTGGAGATGCAAAGCCATCATTTCAAAAGATAAGGAGCCAATGACACCTTCAAAGAGACGTGCTACTCAAAATCGATAGAGAAGCAAGTACAAGGGAAGCGTAAGCGCTCACCTGAGTTACCAGCCTCGCTGCAGCTGCATCAACTTCACTGTACCCCTCGGTGGCTCCTTCTGCAGTATGCAGCTGCTTTCGCAGCATGGCTGCAATCTTCTCGCACTCCTTGAGCGCATGTAGCACCGGGTCCTCTAGCAACTCGACCCCATTGCTCTTGGTCGCTTCTAAGTCTACGTAAGGCACAACCCGTTCCTTCTTTTCCTTGTCATCTTCCTTGGACTCCAAGTCAATCAGAGTTCTAGGTTTGCTGAGCTGGTCAGCCGTGGCGTAGAAGCTGCCGGGCTTGATCTCACACCGCTGCGCTTTAGGCTGGGCGATGAAGTGCTCTGTCGCTCCTCTACTGGATGCTCCTGCCTCAGCGGCATTGCCTTTGGCAGGCGTATCTTCACTTGTTTCAGGCACCACTTCGTTATGTAGATGACTCACGGAGTCGCCCCTTGAGCTAGATCTCCAACTTCCTTGAGGCTGGTCCTCAGTTGCAACCTCTTCAACATGATGGTCGTCGTCATCATCGTCTTCAAGAATGACCCTTCTGCGCTTTGCCCTTCCTTTGGTTAGTCCTGGCGAGCCACCACCCTCCGCTTCTTGCTGACCACTGCCGCCTTCCTTTTTGGCTGTTTGGCTCTGTGGCCCCCTGCGTCTAGCCTGTGAGGGTTTGGCTTCTCCAAACACTCTTGAGGCTCTCAGAACGGTCTGTGGTGCAGCATCATCATCATCTGAGATCTCCAGACCACCAACCACAAGAGTGCCCCCTGGTTTCTTTCCGAAGAAGGACATAGCGATTGCTTGCTCTGACCTCAATCAGGCTCAGAAACCCTTGCATGCAATCAAGTTGTAGCAGAGGTTTGCTGGTGACCGCTTGATTAGGAAAGATCCGGAGTTCTCAATGTGCAGCGGCGAGCATCGCGCCGAACCTTATATGTTGACGCGCTGGCAACATGATCCAAGGTGGGAGGTCAGTGCAGAAAGACACTGAGAAGCGGATCGGTCCTTCCGTCAGCTAGGCGCCTGTTCAAGTCATTCCTGGCTCCGCTATGACCAGGCGTCTGCCGTGTTCCCTGGAGCAGCCTGTGTCGTCTGCATTGCGCTTGCCGGCCATTGGCAATGGCATCAAGGCATTGCCGTACGTATTACTGTTGGCATTGCCCCGCGGATCGAGTCCGATTTAATGCAAAGCTGGGGTCACGAAGTTGCGAAACTCCTGTGTTTCTCCCGGTTTCAGATCGTCGAAAGAAATCCTAAGTTGTAACGGACGATCCCCAATGATCGAGAGTCGCTCGGCAATTCTATGGCAAGCCCTGCTGCCGGTTTCTTGCACTTCGTCACGGCCGCTCAGCAACAGCCAGACATCCGTACAGGGACAGTCGAGAGTTGGTTCAGATTGCCGTTCTGAACAACGGCATTTGATACGGCTGTGCGCTTCGAGTCTCAGGCCCCGGAGGGCTTTCACTGTCCGCCCTTTCCAGTTTCCCACATGGTGGAACGTGCTCGCAATGCTAGGGCATTTTGCAGCTCTGATCGATTGGCTCTGTTCGCAGTCACAAGTCCTCAAGAAGTCGGATTAAATTGTGACCTGGATAAGTGAATGCTGCAGCTCGGTGCCGGCAGATCTACGCGAAACAGTTGCCTTGCAAGAAGAGAAGAGGGAAAGCAGCACTTTCACTAAGTTTGCTAATCAATGGCGCCCAAGCGGAAGGCTGCAGCGGCAGCAAAGGAAGAGGCTGCTCCCACAAAGAAAGGCAAGGGAGGGCTAGCGATTGGCGACGACTTTCCCAATCTGCCTGAGCTAGAGTTTGATGAATCCACGCCGGAAGAGAAGAAGACCGTCAAGCTGAGTGATGTCTTGAAAGACCATGGCATCATCCTCTTCTTCTACCCAAAAGCAAACACTGGGGGCTGCACAAAGCAAGCCTGCGGGTTCCAGGATAATTTGTCTGAGATTGAAAAGGCAGGGTACAAGGTGTTTGGAATGTCTGCAGACAAGCCAAAGAGTCAAGCGGGCTGGAAAGCCAAGCGAGGCTTCAAGTACAACCTGCTGAGCGACCCCAGCTACGAGGTCAGTGTATTGCCCTGGTAAACTGTTCTCGAGATAGTTTACCATTGCGTGCCAAGATGGCCTTTTAGTCTTTAGATACTTTCCCCCTCCCCAGCTACGCAGATGTGTCGGACAATGTGCAATGCTGCAGATCATCAGCCAGCACTTCAATCAACAGAGACCAACTTCAGGGACATCAAATATGGTGGAACTCACACGAGCAGTTTCAAATGTCCTGAGGAATATTTACCTGCTTGAGATCAGCAATGTTGTTGTGCCCTTGATTTGTTGCAAGTACCCTTGATTCTCCCCTGTTGACACTTATTGACGCCATTGCCCTTTTCAGGTGTTGAAGACTCTTGGAGTGACCAAGGGTGCCAAGAGCATAAGCAGGTAAGCTTCCATCACATTCCGAAGAAGCAATCTTGGTGGGTTCGATCTATGGACCTGCCTGTGGAACTACTGTAGAGCCATTGCCCCCACTGATCACAGAAAACCCCTATACCAGTACACAATCTCAAGGCTTCTAGTAGGGTAGTAGGGATGGCAGCGTGACTTCTATTGGTCAAGACGCAGGCAACACAAGCACTGGTAAAGCAAGCAGAAGACTTTGCGGGAACATGGTCAAAGAAAATACCTGATCAAGGTTGCAAAGGCTACTTATCGTGTTCCCCATCAGCGGGCCCCGCCGGATAAGCTGCTTCATTTGAGGGGATTCCAAGCCGTTGAAGGGGCTTTTCAGTCCAGAATGTCTTGCGTGCCTGCACACTGTTGCATCTGATTAGTGGCCCAGACTTGTCCTCCTGCGGATCATTTCTTTTTGTGCTCGCAGGTCGCACATTGTGGTCGAGAAGGGAGGAAAGATCAAGGATGTCCGCATTGGCATCAGCCCTGGCGACAGCTTTGCAGAGGCGTTGAAGACAGTGACAGCTTAGATTCAACCATAGGGGAGACAGTCAAGTGCTTGACCGGGCCAACATGCTCTGTTTGAGAGAAACGTTCTGGAGTTGCTCCAATCGGGGCTTGTCGTCCAGAACTTTGTGGACCTAAATTGTTTGGGGTCTGGCCAGGCCAGCGACTGGCCTGCCGGCCTTGATGAGACACTCGCGTTGTAGCTGTGCCACAGATCTCGAGTCGATTGTGTTGGCGAGCTTGCCCAATCACTCATCGGTCAGAAACTTATACGGAGTTGTATAATTAGTTGGGAGTGGACTGCTTAAAATTACTCAGAAAGTTCACAAATTTTCTGCATGCTTCCAACGAGGGCAGGGTGCACCTGGTCGGAGTTTCCGACTCAACTTACCTCCAGATCAAACTGGCCGCGCCTACGCCACACCGGGGACCACCTGAGCACGTTGCTTGATTTCGATTGAATCTGTTGTTTGAAAGTCAGTATTTGAGATCAGAGGTATGTCGTCGTGAGTTAACAAAACAGCAGATGAGATGCATGGCCACGACTTCGCCTGGCACGGATGCAGTCTACGTACCAGCCGCCCTCATCATTATTAGATTCAAAATGTGTGCATGACATATATATGCATACATGCAATACACTGGACGCATCTATGCTGTAGCAAGTATACCGTTGACAAAAAAGCCATTGCGAATGCAGTGACATAGATCGTAAGTCAATCGCAGATCATCAGCTGCTGATGCAGATCAACGGCCAGTGCAAAACGCCGGGTGGTAAGATCGATCAGACGTACTTCTCATTCATAGTGATAGGCCTGCGCGGCATGCAGATAATGCGCTCGACGTACTCAATGTTAGTGTAGGCAGTATGCAAACCGACCGTCAAAAATCACGTGTTTGCAACACAAACGCACAGAATCGACACATCGAATAGCGAGATCGAAGTTAACAGCCCTTCGCGGCAACGACTTCCCTACGTTGGCAAGACTTGTATATCAGAGGGAAAGCACATTCGGGCATGAGCGGTACATTTGGTGGCAGCTTAAATCTGAGTCAAGAAAAGTCAATCCCCAAGCACCCGATGTCAGCCGCTGGGCCAATGCAGTCTCGAACACAAAGAAAAGAACAGATTGAGGCCTGCATTCGTGCGCAGCTCCTTGAAGAGACAATATTCTTCAATTTCGAATCGTATCTCCTCAAGGTCTTTGCTCCTACCTCTGATCAACTTCATTCCACTGTTTTTGAACTTCGTATCATGCATTATGACGCTGTGCCACTATTGATCCTCCATCAAGATCAAAAATTGCTTCAGACCACAGCGTCCAGCGATTCACTGCGCCTGAGAGGGGGCCGCGTTCTCGGGAAGGCAGTGCTTCTTGTGGGTTCGCCAATGAAGCTTCTGGTGTTCCTTACTGCATGAGATGGCAAACGTTAAACACTGTGTCAGGCTACGCGACGCATGCCCACGAACAACATTCGCGAAATCACATTGATACTGACTGGATAGTGTTTCTTCGTTGCTTTCTTCTGACAGTCGAGGTAAGAACTTGGTAGCCTTTTGCGGGCCCGATTCGAACCTACTAGACAGGGTTGACACTGCTTGCATCAGAGGGTATGTGGTGAAAGATATATGCATTTCAAAAGGAAAGGAATTCGAAGAACAAAGAAAGTCTGATCATGCCTGATGCAACTTTAGTCGATGAGTGTTCCAAGACAGGGTGTGGCACTTCGCTTGAGAACAGCAGCTTATCGAGGACACGGTCGTTGCTGGAATTCCCTTGACCTCGAAACCTGAGCTCCATCATACTCGCAGTCAGACGAAGTATTTGTACGTACCTGCAGTAGTAGGCCACCGTGCAGCGTGCACACCTGTTGCAGCTCGTTCCCTGATCGTCATCGGCAGTTTTTGAGCAGCCTTCCCAGGAGCAGACCGTTGGGAGTCCAAGCAGCTTCGCTTTGGCATGTTTCCACACCGCTTTTCTGGAGATCTCCGAGACATACGGAATTTTAGAAGGCCTCCTTGCAAGCGTGGCTAAGAGTTCTTCCCAAAGTCCAGGGCAGTGAGAGTTGAGGAGACTCGCATACGGCTCAAGAAGAGACGGCATCCCAGCTCCTTTCAGTGTGTCGACCAGATGCAAGGCTCCACACAAGCGCAGAAGCACAACGAGGCACGTCATCACTGCTCCTCCGGATATTTGGTCAGCTTGCGTGCGGCTTGCTCTTTGGAAGATGCTTGCTAGAAGCCCAAGATACCCCGTTCCTATCGCCCACTCTTGGCTGTCCTTGTGAAGAACAAGTGCGAGAAGTAGCCTGGCCACTTTCTCCTGGGCGTTTACGAAAGCGTGTGAAGGAATCTTCTTGACGACCTCATCCAAAAAGAGAAGCTGAAGCGAAGGAAGAAGATCGTCGGCACCACGAATCAGTTGACGAAAGTTTTCCGAAGCCCGTGCGTAGTTCACCAGGCCCGCAAGGCTTGGGGTCAGGAGCGGATCAGGTCCAATGATTGAAGGTCTTTCATTGCCTCGAGGATCCTGGGAACGAGGAAGATTCTCCATGAAGCAGCGCAGAAGCTTTTCACCGGTGCCCTCTTCTCTGAGGGTGAATATCGCCACTGACTTGCTTGCCGCCAGGGAGGTGATGGCGAGGTATGATGCATGAGCAACCCCCTCTTTCTCGTTCTGGAATCCAGCAAAGAAGAAGCCGGTTGACCCCACAGGCTTGAACTCCATGGGCTTGCGGTCTTCAAGTACCTGGCTCAGTAACTTCTTCGATACTGATCCTTGCTGATAAATTGCTAGCTCCTGAACCAACCTGGGAGTGCTAGGATTGCCGGACACCTTTTGATTGATTGCATCTTGAAGAGCTGATGCTGCGTTCATTAGAACCATCGGATCGTCCGAGAGAAGCTTCGAGCCAAATGCAGCCACTGTTTTTTCCATTGTGGTCTCTTCGTCGGCTATTTGAGGCCTGCAGATTCCAAAAGCAGAGCATATGGTCGAGGACATCAGATTGGCTTGAAAACTTGTGTTGCTACACTAAGTGGTGTGCCATTCAAAGCTCTGCTTTTAATTTACCGTAGTGCCGGGTGCTTCGACGAAAGGAAGAGAAAAGAACTCTCAAGGTTCTGGGTTTGTAACAGTAACAATGTTTTTGCCGTCAGACAGTCAGCGGTAGCATTTCCAAAGATTTCATGCATTATTTCTCAGTCACTTTGCAACCAAGAGAACCTTTTCTCCAAGATCACAGTTGATAAAACATCAAGACCAAATCGATCGAGAAAAGAGGCGGCAAATCATTGATCGTATTCACTCCTTCTGCAAGGGTTGTTGAAGAGACACTAAAGAGTACTTGGATGATTCTTTTTAAGGGACGCAGAGCTCGCAAGTTTTGCTGAGCCCTTGTCGCGTAAGCATGCACAGAAAAGCTTCCTTAGCAAAGTAGTCTTTAAGAAGTGACCTGCAAGTATTCGCGCAAGAACCCAAACAAACTTAAAAACAAAGACTTGGATGCACAGAGGTAGTCGTCGCTAGCGGCTATTGTGCTTACCGTTCCAGGCTTCAGGCTTCTAGGTATGTCGGCTTCTTGCGTTCAAGAACTTCAAAAGCGAATCATGCATTAGCACTCGAACGCGTGAACTGAATCCTGCGTTTCAAAGTTTGTTTTCAGCTCTCTCTCCTTCCAGCATCAACCCTTTGACCTCCTGGCTTCAGAAACAACGATTCAATGCTATGCTCCTCTAAGGACTTGTGAGACCTTTGGACGCTGATCTGCATGAAGGCAGCATGAAGGTCGCTCCAGGTCGCTGCTGGTCTCCTGAGGTTTGGCAGATCCTTCTTAGTCTTCTGAAACTCATGGAGGACTCCGTTTGATCAAAGAAGTCTTTGCGCTCACGCAGCTCTCCCTGTAAACTTAAGCAGGTTGGGTTGTTGTCTGGTCGGGGTACAGACGCACGAGACTCGTCTGCCTGTGTGGAGTCGCAGGTGATACTTTGCAGGTGCTCGGAGGACATTGAACCGGCCGCTACTTAGCAGATTCGAGCGCGGCTTTTGAAAGCCAAGTGATTGCAAGCTTGTGGACGTAAGCAAGGCCTGGATTTGCAGTTAATGTTGACATCATCGTCCAGAGCCAGCGCATGGTACCAACGTGACATTGCACGCTGGCAGGGGAAGCTAGAGCGACTTCGTCCCAGCTGCCTTGAGAGATCCTTGAAGCTCCAAAAGCTACATTAGAGAGCTTGTTGAAGAGCGCACAGTGGTCCCTCGCGCACTCCATGATTTCTGCAGACGCACGACGGTCATATCGAATTGTGACATGATTTGCTGGCCTAGGATCGACTAACCGTGCTCAGGAAGTTGGCCTGGTACATGTAGGAAGGCTTTACAATGTCGCCCGAGCTGCATCATTGCTTTGCTTGAAGCAACACTCTGGCAAGCTAGCCACGCGAACTGCGAGTGCATGGTTTTATTGCCGCTAGCGCTGCGGGCGGCGATAAGAGAAAACTTAGCAGCTTGCGGCGCAACCGAATTGCGCTGATATATACGAGGGGGAATAACAACGTATCGTTTACCCATTGGCATGCCATGGTACAAGTGTACACGTAGCATTCATAACTCGATTGACATACACCGCCACATGATGCGTTGCAGCGCATGCATGCAAGGTGCATTTCAATGTATCATATAAGATGCTTCCTGAAGTGCTCATTTGTAAGTCGGTTGAGCCGCCGCCATTATCGCGTTGGCGGCCGTGCTGCAGACATCATGCCATGCATCATTAACATACGTGCGCGCGGGCCGCGACTGCGCCGCTCGCTTGCAATTGGATGACGGCGGACTTTGACGGATGACTTCGGCGGACTTTGATGTAAGAACTTTCGGATGGTCACGTGCTCCCAAGTCATCCGACCTGCCAGCAGCTAGGTAGCTAGTAACCTGCCTTACTAACATAAGGCAAGCATAGCTCCTGGCACATACCAATGCTTCAAACCAATGATGTTGTTAGAAACCCGTGTATCGTTCCTTAAGCTAGATACCTAAGAAAGTAACGTTAGCGCTTACTCACTATCGAATTTAGTACAATATGTACAGCTCTTCCAATTCTTCAAGTTTCCTAGCCGCTAAGTAACTGGAATTGGGGCTCGATCGACTTCACTCCGTCGGAGCCTCGCTCTGAACGCGATCTCCGATCCCAGCGCAGCCTCGAGGTTGATGCAGGCAGGCATCAGACATAATGAGAACCAACAAACGAACCTATACTTAAAGCAACAGATCAGAAATTGTGAAATATTTTTCGGCTCATTTTAGGCTATAGGTCTAAGCTTCTGCCACAGGATATAGGCATCTTTCAATAACCGAACCCCTCTGCGGAACCAGCACCCGCGCCACCGACCCTTACTGCGGGAAGAATCGCCTGGTGCTATGGTCCTCAAGGGAACACGTGTCAAGAGTCAAGGACAGGTTGCCCCAACCGGTAGTCGGCCCAAAGCGCCATGATGTGGTCCCGGTCACTGACGAAATACGCAACAATGCCCAGAGCGAACGCAGCGCTGATGCACCCCTGCAGGAAACACATAGCATACCGTCAGAATTGCCGGGCAAGATCCTGCGGGAGCGTCCTGACTCAGGTGCTTCGGTTGTGACATAGCGCCTTGTTTGTCTGAACAAAGAAGATGAGGGCATGTGTAACTGTTGAATCGATCGTGCAGATGTCAAAAAAGCGCTCCTAAGCTAGTGGTAGGCGGATACTTGCGCAAAGTTGGTCACTCCACCTGAAACGGAAGAGTGCCCCGAACAAGATATCATCCCAAACAAGGACTAAGAGACACACAACCCCTGCGGTTCTCAGTCGCTTCAGCGCGGCTGGCGACGAGGCACACGCAGCTGGTCACAGCAGTGAAGTGCTAGATATACTCTACCAGTAAAACTAGTAAAGCAATTGCCCAATCTGAGATCATGTAGAAGATAGGACAACTGGGTGACATACTAGCGCGAACCGATAAGTGAAAAGGATGAGAAGGAAAACGATCGATGAAAAAGGCACCGAAAGAGCGCTTACTGCAACAAGGCTCGCCGTTAGGCCTGGCCGCTCCCGGGGGTTGTGGGGGAAGAACCAGAGAATCGCGCCAACGTACCAGAGGAGGTTGAAGAAGAAACCAAAGATGAACCTGTAACACAGAAAATGGGCTTAAAGCAGGTGCAGGCAAAAAGCCCTCTTGACGCTGACTCGAATGCAGGGGAGAACCTCGACAAAGAGCAAACATGTTAAGGTTCGAACGAGAGCCACATTAAAATCCGACAAAGCCAAGATCAGAAAACCGTATCAGAGGCATTCCCAAATGACGACAATGCAACACCGATCACAAGCCGGGGTCTAAGCTCTTCGAAAACCATCTAAGACGCTGGCTTTTGAATCATTGCCGAAGGATCGCTGGAGTTGCTGGAGCTACACCAAGTACAGCGCATCTGCCTAGAACTTGAAGACACAAGGGGCTATTTTGAATGTGGTAGAATGAACGTAGATTGGCAACTGCCTAGAACTTGAAGACACAAGGGGCTATTTTGAATGTGGTAGAATGAACGTAGATTGGCAAGAGGTAAAAAGTGAAGGAATTAGGACAATAGCAGTACTGAGAACGAGCTTGCTTAGGCACCTGACGTGGCTTGGATTTCAGAAGGGCGTGAGAAACACTTTATGTGAGTGCTGGAACGGGGAAGCTGAAAGCAGAACAGGCGACACGTCACCAAACGTCCCCCCTATGCTGGGACTTGGGGGTTCACTGCTCCTGGCCGTTTCAAGCCGCTGCGGACTTGTTTAAAGGACACAAGACGGAATTGCTCACCGATTCCTAACGAAAGCTGCAAGGCGATCACCGACGCAAGCTTCTCAGAGTGTGCTGGCAAGATGATTGGAGCGTAATCTGTAGAGCCTAACTTAATCCCGTATCGGAGGCCAAATGACCAACCATAATACGAGACGTCATCCTAAAGACAAACATTGTAAGAGAATGCAATATTTAAAGGGGGCACAGATGCTCACAGGAACCACCCAATACCGCAACCGCAGCACGGCAGGGGCCTGTCGTAACCGTACTCTCCGCTCAGCTCGTGATACTCGTAACCACCCGGTCCGGTCTGCAACAAAAAGGAAGAGTGGTTTCAGACTTGGTTGTTCTTGAATAGTGTCAAAACTGCAAATAATGGAAGAACAGTGGGGACTGAGTCTGGTGGTAGATTCTGACAGCCCGAACAGACATTTTCCTCATCCCGCAGGTGAAATGCTATTGCTCGTGAAGTAAAGCTGCACCAATGGGGACCAGACTGAGCCAGAACACTCTTGATATTGTTGCACAGAGTATACAAATTGATATGGACTGCAGTCAATAAACCCTGGAACTGGTTCATTTTTCTAAACACTGGCTGCGACTCTGTACCCAATAACTTTAGTGGGGAAGTTGCAGCTGGACGCAGTACACTGTCTTGAGCTCCACAAGCTCCTCCAGCCACTACACTCCCTCCACTGGGCATTGCAAACAAGTGGTCACTTCGTCGAGTCAAAGCAAGATTCTGCACCATTGAACACAAGGACCCACCACAGAGTAGCCGGGCTGCGGAGGCGCCTCTGCCTGCCAGTACTCAGGACGCGATGTCATCTGTGGCTGCTGCTGATAGTGCGTTTGCGACTGGGGCCGCCCCCCCCGAGTGTACTGCTGATATCCCGTATAAGGTATATAAGCGGGCGGCTGCGCCTCCGTCAATGGGGGGGCAGAAGGGGCCTCACTGCTACTAGGGGCAGCCTGCAGAGAATCAGGACAAAGTCAAACTCTGGGTCTAAGCAAATTGAAGAAAGACCCTCACCACCTGCTCTTCTGATAGACTACTCAGCATTGAGGAGCGAATGGTAGCTCCTTGATAAACTTCTGTGGCATTTGGCAGCATCAGAATCACAGTGCACAATCTCTGTTATGGTGGCATGCTGAGGAGCGGCATGTCAGGTAAGGGGCACTTTTCAAGCTCGCAGAAGGAGCAGGATTGTGCAGGTAATATGCAATGCCGGAACCACATGCCCTTCCTCTGCACCAACTTCTAATCGAGGCAGTCAAAAGTGCACGGTATATGTACAAACGGAGCCTTTGATGCGCAGCGGTTCTTGAAGCTTCGAGGAGCACAAGGAAATAAGCGGCTGAAAATTGTTGTGACGGCTCTCGAAGGAGTCTTGACAGCTTCAGGCAACACACTCTTACCTTCATGGGTACTCCTCCAAAACCCTAAAACTCGACTTCAAAAGTGGACCTCAACATGCGGTGGAACGTGGGGCAAAGAACAACTTGGTCATGCGGAGTATGAAAACCCAGAACCACGTCTACAGCTAACACACTGTATCAGCATTGCCACAGTGCATGCAGGATGTAGACCAAGCAAGTACATAGAGCAACCACGAACGTGACTGTCGCTTGTTATGCACAACGACGTACACAACACAGCCTGTGTACGACAGGGCAGAAGGAACCACACTTTTCGGCTGCGCTGTTCAAAGGAAGCAGAAAACCATACCTGCTCCTGCGATGGGTCGCCAGCCGCCATGAAGGCCCCTGTAAAGTTTTTGCACTCCCAGAAGAGACCTGTCAACCTGAAGCATGCAACCCTAGCCCCCTGCCAACCACTCACACGCTCTCCCTCTCCAAAGACCGTCTTCCTCAGAATCCAAGTTCTCGCGCCCTCAAACTTCAACACGATTTCGAAGTGCTCAGCAATTCAAGAGCCAGCGCAAGCTACACAGTGCAGAGGGCACAAGTGCGAAGGTTGCGGGTCCAGCTGGCGCGCGACCGCGAGGCGCGCCGCCCGCGCTAGACTCTGAGAGTGCAGTTGCCCAACTCCCTCGGGGAATCGCCCGTAGTATAAGCTATCCGCCATAAGGGCTCTGAGGGCCAGCACTCACCATTACCGCGCTGTGGCGGACCGTTCCCATCCGGTTCCTCCTAAAGCACTCCCTCAGGCCCCACACACAATGCCAATTAGCCAATGGTCATCAGCAGAGAGAGCAGGCTGGGTAGATTGTGGTTGAAGCTTTGCTTCAGCCTTCAGCTCATAAAAGTCAGTGTGGTTGGCACTTCAAGGCGTTGAAGCAAGTCCGGCCACAGAGCCGGCTCCGAGGCTCTGTGGCGCCTTGCGGCAGATCTCTAACCTGCTTGCACCACTGCCAAGTGTCATTCCAGAAGCAAGAAGATGCTTCTCTGAGTCAGCAACTTGATGACTCAGCACAGCTGGCGGCGGCACCCGATGGCGCTGCCTGGCGTCCTCTGGCAGCTTTCTGAGCTCGTTTTGATGGGTTGCAATGGTCTCCAACTACATTTCTCAAAAGAACAAAGGGTCCATTTCTCAGGAGAGTCTTGTGGCAAGCTCAAAAGCAGGAAGACTGTGGTCGGCGCGTTGTGTACGCACGCGTTTAGACATGCTCAGGTAAGTGTTTTGCTTCTGTAGCTCTCAAACATCAGGATCAAGCACCTCTTGTACAGGGCCGCGCGCTTGGGAATTGCTAACCAGCATTCAAAACACTTGATGGTCTGTGCTGTCTGCTGTAAGTGGAATGCTTTTTGTCTGCCGTAAGTGGAATGCTTTTTGTCTGCCAGAAGGGGCTTTCTGTCAGGCCTCCTTAGTATACTGGGTCAGCCTGACGATTGTGGACAATACCAACATGCACATGTGCCATGTGGGATCGCCGCCAGTTCCAGAGTAATGGGTTTGCAAATGCATGTTGGCGAGCGCCATGAGCTCTCAAACACGTCTCCAGCCTCATGCATGTCCTGCACTCATCACAATGGACTTCCTTTTTCCATGGGTTTGTCTCCACACAAAAGCACTTTGGTCAGGGGCAGGGATCAGATCACCTGAGGCTTTGATTCTGATCCGTTAATACTTTTCTGCATGCAGGGTGGTTGCCCACAAACAGCGGAGTGTGTGGTCAGCAGCGCCGCGCACCGGGCTTTGAGGTAAGCCCTGTGCTTAGGCTTCTACGCATCTGCTGCCTGCCGACCTGCGCACTTGCAGGCTCACAGAATTGTGTTATCAAAGCAGGAGTCACTCAGGCGATGGCCAACATCCACCCCCCGGGCCACCAGGATCATCGCTCAATCATGCGTCCGTCAACTCCGAGGGGTCCCCTGAGTATTGTCTGGTCGTGTTTTGCAGCAGATGGCAGAGACAACTACACCGCCGCAGCAGGAGTCGGCAGCCTCACTGTTTGATGGCACCCCTGCCGCTGAATTGCTGCCTTCGACTCTGGTGAGCTCACCAAACCTGATGGCTCAGATTCTGTTGCGTGGGAGGGGCGCATAGTCAAGTCCTGGGACATGGCATGGACCAAGGGAGCGATACGTGCTGTACAAGTGGAGTGCTGACAATTTGCATTGGCGTAGAAGGTCGAATGCATAGATCAGTGGGTGCAGATTGACGACCCCATGCCGAGCGCTTTCTGGGTTCTTGTGAGAGAGAGGGATTCGAGGAGCTGACAAATTGCATGGTTTTAGAGGCTTGAATGCATAGACCAGTGAGTGCAGATTGTCAGCCCCATGCCGGGGGCTCTCTTTGGTTGTTCTTCAGTTCATGGACCGAGGGGCTGACAATCTGCATTGGTTGAGAAGCGACAATGTAAAGACCAGTGAGTGCAATTTGTCACCCCCATACCGGGTACTTTCCTAAAGGGCTTCTGTGGAGGAGCTGACAATTTGCATTGGTTAAGAGGCTTCAATGCATAGACCAGTGAGTGCAAATTGTCCGGCCCCATGCCGGGCGCTTTTCTTGGTTCGTCTGGAGTTATCTAGCTGACAATTTGCATTGGTTGAGAAGCTTCAATGCATAGACCAGCTGTTGCAAATTGTCGAGCCCATACCGGGCACTTTTCTGGTTCTACTGGGAGCGATAGAGGGAGGTTCTGTCAATCTGCATCAGTTTAGAGGGTGGATTGCATAGACCAGCTGGTGCAGATTGTCACGCCCATGCCGGGCACTTTTCCTGGTTTTACTGGGAGCGATAGATCTAGGTTCTGACAATTTGCATTGGCTTAGAAGGTCGAATGCATAGACCA